ATCAATAAGAATAAAGCTGTATTGATAAGAATGTATCGATAAGAATAAAGTTTTGTTAATAAGAATAAAGATGCATTAATAAGAAAAAAATTGTTATAGAAGAACAATGCTTTATTTTAAAACAAATGTGTCTTATAAAGAAAAAACTTGAACCAGGAGGAATAAAGCTATAGTAGAATGAACAGAATTGTAAAAAAAAGAACAAAGTTGTATAAGAAAGAACAAAGTTGTATAAGAATGAATAGAGTTGTGTTGTGTAGAGTTGTAAAAGAATGAAGAGAGTTGTATAAGCCAAAAAAAGCCATGTCAGGATGGAAGAGTGTATCAGTTTATTCAATTACATTGAACTACATTGAATTATAGAATAGACCATGAAATTGATTGTTATTCCACTGAGTTTGTGTACAAATTATAAGATTCATAAAAAAAAGAAACAGATTTAATAAGTATAACAAAAAAAGTTAATTTGGATTGAATCTAGATACATTGAAGGGAAGAACACAATTACATGTTGTGAATTTGCAAGGTGTATTTTAGAGACAGAAATGGGGATTAACATCTATTTGACATAAACTAGGTCATTTTGGGACTAATGTATGTTTGAATTTTATTTCAATAATTTGCTTGTGCATAGGGGTCTTTATCATTTATGAAGCGTGTTAATACTGAAGAACGGTTTCTAAGGCGCTGTTGGTTGTTATATTCACTGATTATTTTACAGATCAGGGTTTTGAAACAAGAATGTTTTTGAGTTGAGCTTTAAAATAGTCCACATGTGTTAACTGTTTCTTTGACTTTGGTCGTTTATTTCGTAGAAAGGGTCCAGCATAGAAAAAGGCACGTTTTCCAAGTTGTAAGTTAAAGTTACAATTTCATATTTTTAAGTTATATTTTTAAAATGTATTAAAATAAAGCCCTAAAATAGATGATATCTATAAACAGTCCTACCTTGTTAAAGAATAATCCTATTAATTCTATAATTCACTATTGCCAGTTGAGAAATTGGCAAAAATATCATTTTCAACTTCAAATTCAAACGTTTGAAGATAGCTATTCCATGGTGGGCAATAGGAAAACAAGGAGGTAATGGTGTTATTATTTCAGGTGTGAAGATTTTTAAGTGTGAGAAAGATCATATAATAGTGAGTTGATAACCTATTGAGCAAAAGACATAGAAATAATTATGTTTTGACTTTCTTAGAAAATATGAAATTTTAACTTTAATAGTTGGAGATTTTAGAAGATGTCTCTTCTGAGAGACTTCTGCTTGTAGTATAGGGTTCTGCAAGACTTTATATAAGATAGGGCTAGCTGTTTAACACTTTGAAGATGACGAAGAGGAGTAACTTGAACTTAATTCTTTGCTGAAGTGGGAGAGAATGTAGGGATTGCAATACAGGGGAGATGTATTGATTTTTTCTAGTTTTAGTGAGGAGTTGAGCTTCTGAATTTTGAACATGTTGTAGTTGGTTAATCTGATAGTTTGGTTTGCCATGGTAAACCATTGTGGTAATCTAGTTTAGTTGAGATGAATGTGTGAATGGGTTTTGCTTTATTTTCATAATTGAGATAGCTTTGAAACTTTCCAATTTGATGTATATGGTAGAAAGCGGTGGAGCAAAAACTTAATATGGGATCTTGAAATCATAGGTTCAAGTCTAATATAGCACTAATATACCCTCCATTCATTTATGTACAATTAAGGATCTTCAAAGGAATCTCTTAAATCTCCAAACTAAACCCTTTCACAAACATGTATTTAAATTTATAGAAACCCTGAACCTGATCAAAGACAGTAATGATGGCTGTCTGGGTAGCTGATAAGTTAAATTCCAATTCTATACATAAATTACTAAAACTAAAAAAACAATAGAATTGGACTTCTTGCCATATCTAGTAAAAACAATTTGATGGGGTTTTCAGAATAACTTGATTTATTATCACCAAATTATCTGTAACCGAGTTGAACTAAGGTAAAGAGAAAGAGAGAGAGAGAGAGCATAGGTTTTTCATGAATAAACCAAATTGAATATCGATTCAAAGTTGTGCAACCTATTTCTTTTTTTTTAATTTAAAGATGCGTTATGTAAGATTTAGATAGAGAGCTGACAGTTCTTGCTATAATAGTTTGAAAATAGATAATGAAAAAGGAATATATTGAAAATTTCAGTCAAATTATTTCATTCTGAGCCAGGTTGAGAATGTTGGAAGTTTTGATAAGAATAGTGTAGTCTCGATTTTCATTGCTGCCATTGTTACGATAATAAACAAATTCTTGATTTTCCATTTTTAAATAAAATTATTCAATGGCAATTGCGTTTTAATTCAATAAAAATCATGACCATCCAATGGTCTAGAGAGTTGATTATGGGTTTGTCATGTGAAGAGGGGTGGGGTGGCTGAATGGTTAACACATGCGTGTTAGATCATAAGGTCTGTCATTGAGTCAAGTGGTGTGGTTTCAATTCCCAGCTTGTACATGACAAGGAGTAGGGTCGTGACAAGGAGTAGGGTCGCCTGTTGAACCTTGTGGGTTTTCCTCAGGTGCTCCAGTTTCCTGCCACTGCTAAAGACCCCTTACACGCATGCGAATTATTGAAATAAGATTAAAATTGAACCATATATTAGTCCTGAAATGACCTAGTTTGTGTCCAGTGGAATTAAACTCTCTTTCTCTCTCTATCTCTCTCTATCTCTCTCTCTCTCTCTCTCTCTCTCATGAGTTATATCACAGATGACCTGCTGCAAAAAACATTAGGTATTTACTTGATTTCCAATATTCTCTACATATATATGTTATGATTGAAATCAGGTCTGTGGTGGCTCAGTGAGTAAGATGCTGGCCCGCTAACCAACAGTTCTCGGGTTTCGCAGACACAGTTTAGCTGGATTTTCCATTACGGTTTCCTCATGTCGTTAGTGCAGAACTAGGAGCCTGACAAGGAAAATGTCTTGTTGTTCAGATGGGAAAAACACTCAAACTCCCGTGGACACATTGTCTTGCACGTACAAGAATTCTTGACTGTTGGAATCTGAACTAAGAGTAGGCCGTAGGACTGTTGTTCGGGCAAAATTTCCCTCAAAGCACACTGTATATGCCTGTCTTCATCAGGCCAGTCAGTGCAGAAAAGTGGGATGTTAAACCCCATTTCATTTCATCGTGGGCAGACTTCCTTTATTGGGTAATGATAGAAAACACAACCTGACTTTTTTCACTGACTGGTTTAATATCAAATCTGATATTTAAAAAAGTACATTATACATCAACTTTAATTGTATCTAAACTTATACAGGGCTACCCCATTTGGTTGGGTTTCTTTTCGATTGATAGCTATAAACTGTCTGATAAAGTGAATTTGCATGAATTAGGATTTCAGTTTTAGTCTGCTGGGATTGTTTAAAAATCAATTGAGGGTTTTAAATCGTGTTATTCTTCCAATTGAAGATTTCAGCCAGTGGAATAATAGATAAATATATATTTAAATTATGGTGGGTTGGAGGATGGTTATATTAGTTTAAAGAGACACTTACAGCATGTATAGTAAAAAAAGAAAGTTACTAGAATTGATTTTACATCAAGCATTATGGTACAATATACCAGAGGCAGATCCAGTTAAGACAGTCCAGTTTTATGTGCTTTATCCAATATCATCAAATAGTGGGATGGGATGGGCATTTGAAGTGCGAGATAATGATATTGACATATGTGATATCACAATTAATACTTTGTATCAATGAAATTGAATCACACAATGTGATTGACGTCAAACAGGGTGTTGGATTTCTCTCTTTAAAAAACTCAGTGGGTATATTATATGTATGCCTACGTAATTTGGAGATCATGAAGACATCATGCATTGTCAGATTTCTTTAACAGGAACCTGGCAAACCCCCTCCTGCAATGACCAAAACCAAACTTGTCTTCATTAGGACCAGTTGGTGCAGAACAGTATGATGTCAAACCCCATTTCATTACAACTAAAACTATATGAGCTCTATGTTATTAGAGGGGGAGCCACGGTGGCTAAGTGGGTAAAATGCTGGCTCGCTAGTCTAGAGGTCTCCGCTTTAGCCGAGAAAGTTCATTGGGCTATCCCTTGTCAGTGGTGGAAGATGGAGGGCCTGATAAGGACAGCTGTCTAGTTGTTTGCATGGGATAAAAAAAAACAGGTCCTGTGTACTCATTGGCGTGCACGTAAAAGATCCCTTGGCTGTTGGAATTTGATATAAGAGTAGGCTGTAGCGCTGTTGTCCAGGCCAAATTTCCCTCATAGCACACTGTATGGCGTATGCTCGTCTTCATTAGCACAGTCGGAGCAGAACAGTAGGACGTTAAACCTCGTTTCATTTTATGTTATTAGAGAAATATTGAACCAAAGGACTTCAGTAACATAGATAATAATAATAATAATATATCAACATTTTATAAAGCACATAAACATAATAATTCTAAAGTTTCTAATACCTCACTGGTTCCAGTATCACTAATTATTTCTTTCACAAGAGATTTCGGAACATAAATGTTTTGAGCTGAGATTTAAAGGTTTCCTTGGATTTTGAAAGTCTTAATTCTAGAGAAAGTTGATTCCAGATGAAAACATTACCAATGTTTTTTTAAGAAAATTAAACCAGGGGAAAAACACTTGACACTTCAGTAACATGGATACCAGATGAAAACATTACTTCTAATTTTTTTTTTTAAAAAAACCCAAAAAACAAAACAACGTGCATGGGAATAATTGAAACATAATGTAACAATATGTTAGTCTATAAATGTGTTGAGTGGACATTAAGCCCCCTCTCCCTCTCTTTAAGAATAAACAAGAGAAAAATACTTGGCACATCAAAAAAATATATATGAAAACAAGGGAAGTGAAAATGTTATCAGGTGTTGAGTTTTAGTGGAAGGATTTGTGCGGGGTGAGATACAGGCTTATGAAATAATTTTTACAACCCACCAGCATAAGGCATTTCTAATGTTTGTGTTGGATATTTTTCAGGTTTTTGATGCTGTGATTATTTTACTCTCGTTTATAGTAGATCTGATATTCCTCAAGGGATTATCAAATTCTGCTATTAGTGATCCAGTTTTTATACTTGCTTTTCTCTTGCCGTGGAGAGTTATACGGGTAGTCAATAGTAAGTATGATTTTGATTATTCAAAATAGTTTTGCAGGACGGAGGGCCTAACAAGGACAGCTGTCTAGTTGTTCGGATGGGACGGAAAACCGAGGTCCTGTGTACACATTGGCATGCACGCAAAAGATCCCTTGACAGTTGGAATTCGATATAAGAGTAGGCCGTAGTGCCGCTGTCCGGGCAAAATTTCCCTCATAGCACACTGTATGGCGTATGCCTGTCTTAATTAGCCCAGTTCAGAGCAGAACAGTAGGACGTTAAACCCCATTTCATTTCATTTCATTTCGAAATAGTTTATTCTTTAAAGATGCACTACCGTTTTTGCTATCATAGTTTAAAAATAGATAACAGAGGCGGATACAGGAATTTTAAGATCATTGCCGAACAAAGAGATGCAAACAATTTCTGGACCTTTTTCTTACCATTTTGTCCAGAATAAATCCATGGCAGATGAAATAAAAATCTTTCTTGCAAAAGTGGGCTAAAGAAGTGCAATATTTGTTGCATGTTACATATAAACAGTTACAATTTTATTTCGGTTTCATATGTTAGCACAATATTGTCTGTAAAGCTGTTTCGATTTCTTAAGCGATGGACACAATAGCCGAACGATTTGGTTGAATCGTTTGGCCGAATCAATCGGTGTTAAAATTTGCCTAGTGTGTCCACTGTCATTTGCCGAATTTCTATTCGACCGAATGATGCGCCCGAATCAAACATATTTGATATATTTGCCTAGTGTATCCGCTTTGCCGAAGAATTCGGTCGAATGTAGAATTCATTAGCCAATCACAACTCACAAGTCACGTGATTATTTGAAGACGTGGTCCACGCCATGTTTAATCATGTGATGTGAAAGGTGATGCAATCGACTGGTGAATCAGGCGAAACATTCGCTTAGTGTGTCCATCCATTCGGCCGAATAATATTCGGTGCTGATTGATTCGGCTAATGTGTCTACCGCTTTACCTATATGTGTAAACACTTATTATTTTGAGAAGTATTATTTTTACAATTTCAGGTTTAGTTGTAGCTGTGATAGATCATGAACATGTCAAACTTCGACTTCTTTACAGTCGGAAAAAGAAACTTGATAAAACTGTCGATAATTTGAGGAATGAGGTGGATGAACTTAAGGTAGGACATATTGATGCCATTATTAATATTTATTAATTCTCTTATTTTTTCGTTTTTAGTGATCTAATGCTTGGGTTTAGATCGTAACATCTGTCATTGAGTAACTTTCCAAGTAGTAACATTCCAATATCACCAGCTTATGGAGTGTTTGTGTCTCAACTAATTCGTTACGCGAGAGCTTGTTCATTTTATTCTGATTTTTTAAGTAGATCGAGGCATTTGTCATCTAAGCTTCAACTACAGGGATACTTGCGAACTAAACTTATTAAAACCTTTAAAAAGTTTTATGGGTGTCATATTGACTTGATTGGTAAATATAACATGTCTCTCTCGGCTATTATTCTGGATATATTTAATTGACGCAGATACAATCTCACTGATAATATCTGTCTACTACATCGTTAACACTGTTCATCACGTGCATTTTGCATACCGATAGTCCATTGGCCAATCACGCTATTTTACCGAGATTTCGCCTAATAGTTTGGATGCAGCTATGGCGAGTGTGGCGCCAGGCAGGGTAAGCTTACTCTTCCGGACACCTGTTACCACTGTTTGTCGAGTATTTTGTACACGGTGAACAGTCCATATGCTGATTACACTATTTTGCCATATTACACTATTTTGCCTATACCGTTTTTTAAGGACTTCGAATTTTGTCTAATGGTTTGTATTGTTCGTACTTGGTTTTATTTTATTTTATAGTGTGGTTTCGATCACTGGCTTGTAAGTACCATAACAATGAGTAAGGTCACCTTGAGGGGAAACAAATGTGCTGGGGCGAGACTTTTCTTTGTTCCCGCCCCCCCCCCCCTTCCATTACCACTAGTCATATCTAGATGATTCACTAGCAGATTGCGATAAAGCGAAAACTTTTGTATAAGCTTCAAACTTTGAAGTTCAAAGGAACAATAAAAAATCCATGCATAATTGATCATCTCAATTTTGAACTCGGTCTTTGGTATTCATGGGCCCCATAGACTCTATGGGTCCTAGGGCGGCGCACCGGCTGCATCCCCCTTCTCTTGAGGCCTGCTGCCTACATCCTCATGGTTTTTCTTTAGTTTATGTCCTTTGTGGTTTCCTTCCATGCCAAAGAACCCCTACACCTACATGCAAGATTACCATATATTAGTTCTGAAGTTACCTAGTTTGTCTTAACTGGCCATTAAACCTCATTTCTTTCTCTTATTTTACAGAGTTTATTACATGAAGTTCGTGCATTTTGTATAAAAGATGGAATGGAAGAATGGAAGATTGATAATTTATTAGGTAATTTTATATTTTTTTTTTATTCTAGTTCCATTTTCTTTTGCCGCTTTAAAGTAAGAATATTGATAGTAAAAAATATAAAAACAGACCACATCCACTTCTTTTACATGCACGCCAATGTGTGCACAGGACCTGTTTTTTGTTCCATCCGAATGACTATACAATGTCCCTTGCCGGTCAACCAGGGATCAAACATGGGACCTCCAGGTTACCGAGCCAATGTTTTACTCACTTTGCATGGAAGTAAAAAGTGCTGGTATATTATATGGCCATTTACAAACTTAAACATACATTATGCAAGAGCTAAATCTGTCTATCGCAGGTCTTTCTTTAGGCCTGAAATGTTATCTAAATTATTAATTAGACATTAATTAACTTATCCAGACCATAATCAACTCTTGATGGCATCGCTAGCCTGCTATCTTAAGTGGATTGTGAGCCGATTTACTGCATAACTTTCCTTATCGATTAAACGATTAAATAGATAATCGAGACTATGCTGTTTATCGTACTGACTTTAGTAATGATGACCGAGGCTAGGCAGAAATTTCATTCGTTATTGCCTTTACGTTATCTAGTTTTTAACTATTATAGTGAGAACTGCCAACGCGTTATCGAATCTCCCATAATGTATCTTTAAGGAATATTAGAAACTTTCACATTTCTCAATAACAACATTTAAAAACTCCCTTTATTTCTTAAATTAATTGTCAACTAAAATAGGCAACCAGTGTTTCTTTATAATTATAAAAAATGTTGTTATCAAGAGTTATACAATGGGCGTTATTGAATAATTTAGCACTTACCCGGGGCTTAAACTGATATACATTAAAATAATATACATATTCAACATATGATTAAAAGGATTATTGATGGCTTCCAAATTATTTCAATTTACACAGATTCATTGCCACTTTAAACTAAAGTATTTAGATGAATAATTGTAATATTATATTTTTATGAAAGCCGAATTTGAAAAATTGAAAAATATAAGTCTACGAACTCTAGGGTTCTGGAAGTAAGTTTTGTGTTTTAAATAACGAACACCAGATGGCACTACAGATTTGTCTCATTTCATTTTTTCACCGTGAACCACAGATTCAAATGTTTGACATCCATGAATTGTAATAAGTTTTGTACTTTCACTGTGAACACAGTTTCAAATGTAAACAATTAATGTCCTTCAAATGTTTCAAATGTTTGCCATCCATGAAATAAGTATCGTTCTTTCACCGTGAACAGATTTTCAAATGTAAACAATTAATGTCCTTCAAAATATTTATATCTATGAATTGTAGTAAGTTTCATTCTTTCACCACAAAGTTTCAAAGGTAAACAATTAATGTCCTTCAAAATATTCATATCTATAAATCGTAATTAGTTTCATTCTTTCACCACGAACACAGTTTCAAATGTAAACAATAAATGTCCATGAATTGTAATAAGTTTCATTCTTTCACCGTGAACAGAGTTTCAAATGTAAACAATTATTAGGGTTTCACACTGCGTAGCTTGTGTGAAACACTATTGTTTTTGTTAAAATTATTATTCTTATTATTATTATTCTTCTTTTGTTTTGAGTAGATCTCAGCAACTGATTGTCGGATCGTTACGATTTCTTCGGTTTTATCGGAAAAGTGGGTGTGACTTAGAGGATAAAGCTATTTTGAACGTTCTGCGACAATGCGAAATGTCCGAAATCACCGAAGCTATCGTTTTTAGAAATATTGCAGTAATTTTAACAATAATCATTGGATTTTAACTTTCGATGCTTTTTGGCATAGCCGGAGACGGGGCACATAGCTACGCTACTTTTGATTTTTGATTTTCGGCAAATCTTCGCAGATATTAGGCGCTAAATTTAGAAAATTTAAATTTTTACAAAAAACTTTTTTATTTATGAATATTTTTTAATCGTGTTTTACACAAATATAACGAGTCCTCTGACTTGGGCAAAAATGTGAAAATTTTTTGTCTCGGTAATTTTCCTTGGCCCCCATTGGCTAATTCAGTTTTTCAGTCCTAGATTAATTATTTATTGTTCGATTTGTATAAAACAAAGTTCATATGCCCCGTTGTCTCAATTGTCATTTTTTTTGTTACCAATAGTGTTATCTGTCGGCACCGGAAGTGGCGTAAATTGACAAAAAACTACAATTTTGACAGTTAGGTACCATTTTTCGAAAGCAAATATTATTTTTTTCAAATCTGGTATAACTGAAATTGTGCGCCCTTTAAAGGCGCACAAAATGTTGGGACCATTTTTTTTAATTTCGATTCCGTTTTCGGGCTATTTCGATTAAAAGGTGAAAAAAGGTGTAAAATTAAGCTATTTACAACCCATTCAGCGTTTTCATATTTTAAAATATTACTTCGTAACTTTCATAAACTCGTAGCAATAATCTATACGGAGAGAATGTATGTGAAAATTAATTTGTAATATGCGCAGTTGCCGAGAAATGGGCAATTTTGCATGAGTCACTTTTTACGCTAGTTTGCCTGTAAAAGAGTCAATTATTATTCGATTTTCATAAAAGTGACACCATTTGATGTGTAATGTCAATTTTAACTAGGTCAAACCAATTTAACATTTTCAATATCACCGGAAATGACGTAATTTGGGCAAAAATTGTATTTATAGCCTTCGAAACCAGTAATTTATTCAAATGAGTCATATTTGTTATTTGTTTAAAATTTTGATATTTGATTCAAATCAACTAATACAATGAACCCTTACGATCATATAGATATCACAAAATGGTTTCTAACTTGTTCAGTTGCGGAGAAATAGGCAATTTTCAACAGGTCACTTTTTAAGGTTTTTTTGTCAAAAAAAGTGTCAATTATTATTCGATTTTCATGAAATTTTCACTGTGATACATAATGCCATTTACGATATCATACAAGTAATTTAAGATTTTCATTATCACCGGAAGTAGCGTCATTTTGGCAAAAACTGTATTTTTAGCCTTCAAAACAGATATTTTATTCAAATGAATCAGATTTGTAATGTTTTTAAAATTATGATATTTGATTCCAATCAACAAATAGAATGAACTCATTCGATCATACAGATACCTCAAAATGGTTTCTAACTTGTACGGTTGCAGAGAAATAGGCGATTTTCTACAAGTCATTTTTCAAGGTTTTTGGTCTATAAAGGTGGCAATTATTATAGGATTTACATAAAATTTTCAACATGTGATGATGCTATTTCTGATTTCATAAACCAATTTAACATTTTCATTATCACCGGAAGTAATGTAATTTTGACAGGATCACTGACATGTAGCAAATGAATTGATTGCTGGATTTGGTTGTTTCTGCGTCCATTTTATTTCATGTGGCAATGCTTATGTGGAAACCTGTTTAACGGTTTCATTGGTACCGGAAGTGACATAAGTTCAAGGGTAACGTGGCACCGGTGAAACCCGTCATTACTGCTTCGCAGTTCTAGTTTGTAATAAGTTTCATTCTTTCACCGTGAGTTTCAAATGTAAACAATTAATGGCCTCCAAAATATTCATATAAATGTAATAAGTTTCATTCTTTCACTATGAACAGAGTTTCAAATGTAAACAATTAATGTCCTTCAAATGTTTCATATCCATGAAATGTAATAAGTTTCATTCTTTCACCATGAACAAAAAAAAAATTAATGTCCTTCAAATGTTTCATATCCATGAATTGTAATAAGTTTCATTATTCCATTGTGGTGAACCGCAGGGCCCATTAATGTAAACAATTAAACTTTTGTGTCCTTCTAATGTAAATAGTTTGAAATCCATGAATTGTAAATAGTTTGTGATCTTCAAATGCAGATAGTTGATATTCATGAAGTGTAATTCGTTTTATGTAAGCTGTTTTATTTCCAAAGCTATAAATGATTTTACGTCCTTGTGTTGTAAACAGATTTACATCTTTCAATTATAAACTTTCTATGTTAGTGATGATTTCCTTGTAAATAAATGTACGCTCTCGAATTATGAACAAATTTACATGGATTTTAGGTTTTGTTTAGTTATGTAGGGCAAAATGAGGTTGATTTGTGGTCAGCCTAGCTACACCTCTTAGCCCGTGTAATGATCCACGAATTTGTGGACAGGTGACAATTCTATAAGAGTGATGAAACTTGGTTACGCAGAATGATAAGATATTTGATTAATCAATGCTTTATTAAAAGAAAAATGTGCAAGTAATTAATATGTGTCATCTATTTATTATGAGATTAAGGCAGGGTATATCAACCTCACTTTTGGCTTGTTTATTACGCATCATAATTGTCTGCTTAAACCAAGCAATAGTAGCTCCTTATGTTGTTACCAGTATAACTACAGTAGAAGTTTGTAATTAAGACTTCTAGTGTAATATTGTTACTCAAAGAAGTACAATTTGTGTATTTTTATATATTTATAATTTAGAAAACACCAATTCGGCACACAATATTTTATTTAGTTAACATCATAATTATATATATTCAGATGACTATAAATCAGTTATCTTCCAAAAAAGTACTTTCTTGAAAGAATTCTTCTTGCGCAATAAAGATATCAAAAAAATAATTAAAATTTTTCAAGAGACTCCAATATGTATTTATGGTTACATGTATGTATTGCAGTTTCCGTCATTATTATTTCCAGAAGTATTCTTCTCATGCAATAAAAATATTAAAAAGTAGATTTCTTCAGGAGATCCCAAAATACATGTAGGGCTATGTACTGCAGCCTAGTGCCTACCGTAAAAGGTTGAAGAACCAGAGGGGCCATGAAGTACCTTAAAGCTCGGGACGCAGCCATGAGTTAACCCTTTAACCGTCAGATTGTTGGGTGTTTTGACTAGGAAAAGCCTAATGTTATAGTTAAGAATATACATTGTATCCTGCAGCTCTTTAAATTTAAGAATAAATCATACAAATGTATATATTTTTGGAAAGATCTTGAATTCCTCTATTCCTTGATATAAAATATTTAACATTTTTTGTAATTTTTACTTATATGTCATGACTGTAAAATGACCTCCTGATTAACGTTCCAAATGGAACATCTGTTGTTTAAAGGGTTAATACAGCTATTGCTATTGAAACTTCTGGTGAAATATTTCTACTCTAAGCAATGAGTATTAAATTCGAATTTATCACATACTATTACTAGTTTATTACCTAGAATAGTTGTCGGTCTAATTTAATATAAACATATAATACTCTATAACCGACTTCTACTAACCCCAGGGGGGGTATCTCAATCTCATCCAATCTCTATTAATAATAGAACTCTGTGTTTATGAAAGAAATATTCTCTAGTTGTCACAGACAGACAAATTGATCACGTCCTCTAAACTTTTGTTAAGGGGCATCGTCTAATATCTCTAGTCTGTTCAGATTCATTTTCTAACCTCCTTCTCCTTTTGTAATTTTTGTATTCCATTTTCTACGAAAGATCAAAAATGATACACTTTGACCATATTATTACATGCCTACCGATTCTTTTAACAATCCTGACAAATATAGATCAATTCCAGATCCTGCCAAACAAAAACAACTATAGTAAAATGTCCTGCAAATTGGGGATTTCTAAGGTTAAATATGAATAAAGAAGTCAATTTCGTATTTTCTACAACCAAAACATTAAATATATTAAAAGATCATTTTCATGAGCTATGATTAAAAATTACAAAAAAAGAATGTATACTGCAATGAAATGAGCATCAATGACTATGATGTAACAAATCACCATCATCAACTATAATGTAACAAATGCCCATCACCAACTATAATGTAACAAATGATCATCACCAAATCACCAACTATAATGTAACAAATGACCATCACCAACTATAATGTAACAAATGCAAGCAGATAAAATTTCTGTAGGATATTAAGTTATTTCCAAATATCCAAGGCAGTGTGAAGTTAAATCATGTTTTGTTATTCAATATCAAATAAAGAACCAAGTTTACTTGACAAAATGGACAACAATGATATGAAATTAATTTATAAGAAAAAATAATAATTTTGTTTCAATCCTGAATAACGAAACACATTCTGTCTCAGTATTCGTTATTTGAATCTTGAATGACGAAACACGCTCTGTTTAGTTAATCGCCAATAACGAATAACAGAACACGATTTAACTTGCTAATAACAAAACATCCAATATTTCGTTAATCGTGGATATCCAATATTTTATTACTGATATTTCATTTTTATTTTTCTTTGCAGGAAAATTTGCACCCCGAAGACGAAAAGATTCAAAATTTTACAGTTTGGTAAAACTGGTGATGAGCACAGCATCCGTTGCTGATGACAAAGAGTCTGTTAGTTCCGGTTCCATGGACCTGGAGATTAATCAGTTTGCCCGAAGAGAAAGTGTGTTAAATGAGTATGATGGTTGTAGTACAAGTAATGAGAATACCGTAACCAGTTATAATTTCCTCTCAGTACCCAATGCTTACGATTCACGCTCACTCAACTCCGACAACGACATATCAATTAGTTCGCGTCGTTCATCCATCGATAGTTCTAGTCGACGAAGTTCCTTTAATGATGTGAATCTACCTGTCCCAGAATTCATAATCACTAACCCGGAACTGAATACTCAAATACCCTCGGATGCTGAGTCCATCGAACAACAGCAGCTTTTGCCTGATAAAAAGGGATCGACCAATCAAGTTAGCCCTATCCTGACCCGAAAAGATTTGCCAAATAGTCTGAGTCCTTACATGAGCCGTAAAAACTTATCCAATCAGCTGAGTCCATGCACGAGTAGAAAGTCTTCAAACAGTCAACTCAGCCCATGCTTAAATAGAAAATCCTCAGCTTCTCAGCTTAGTTCGTGCTTAAGTAGAAAATCCTCAAATACTCAACTGAGTCCGTGCGTGAGTAGGAATTCCTCACCCACTCAACTGAGTCCGTGCTTGAGTAGGAAATCATCAACCAATGATATCAGCCCTTGCTTAAGTAGAAATAATTCTGCCACTCAGCTAACCCCTTGCTTGAGTCGAAACAGTTCAGCTAGTGACTTGAGTGGTAACTGTAACAGGGAAAGGGTAAAGCGTTCACCACACCGAGTTAATTTTGTGTTATCTTAGTGTTAAATGTTTTTTGTCATGATGATGTGGGGTAAGAGTGTTCTAAGTTCCAGGAAGCAGTACAACCAGTACAGGTGGATTAAATGTGTATCAATATGAACCTAGAAAATAAGATGTAAATCCAAGATGGAGTAGTATTAAAACAAGATGGAGTAACATCCGGTGAATAGTAAATGTAGCCAGTGGAGTTGTTTTCAAAGATGAGTTTTAAACAAAGTCTAAAATACTTCTGTCGACAAATGTGTGAACCCTACCAGCACACTGAGATACTGAAAATTTGAAGAAACGCTGCAATATTAGTTTTAACGGGTCAATTTTACAATACAAAAACAGCTTCCTTGTAGCGGGTCAATTTTACAATACAGAAACAGCGTTCTTGTCCTGCTGTATCGTTTAAAAAATATATACATTTATGTTGCTATGATTTGGTATAAAGCATGACATTTTTATTTAAATTGCTGTCAAATTTTTAATGGTCAGTTGCCTCTCAAATGTTCTGTTTGGTTTGATTACCTAGCCCAGCAGTTTTGTGGTTACTCCATATTCCTGAAGGCAGTAGTTACAGCATTACCATGATTTGATTTGAGTAGTTCACATTCCCTTGTAGATACTAGCACACAAACCAGCAAATATTTCACAATATGCTCAAATATGTCAACATTTTGTTAGCAAGCACCTGTTTATTTTGACATTCAATGGCTTTGTGACGATGTGTTTGAAAGACTATGATGGCCCAAAACTTCCCTGAGTTATAGCAATGCTATGCTGGCCATTTTACCATCATGTTCATGTCTGTATTGTCATATGATTGTTCAAAATGGCATATCCTCAATTACCAAATATGGGATCTGAGAGGTCCAAGGGACTATTTTAATGGCCGCATATGAGCCCCAAAGGTTGGGCAATCTGATTTTTTGGGGAGATGGGTAAAGTGACGAAAAAAAATTAATATATCATCTATATGGCAAAACAAATGCCTGGAATCTAATAAAACACTAATCTTACTTTTCTTTTAATTGAATACCACAGATTTGTACTGAATTGACTATGGATTAAAACATGCATTTGCAGCAGGTAAAATTTTCGAAATTTTCTCAGGGAGTGCAAGGACCCCAGACCCTGCGAACACCAGCTTTGCCGGCAGCGACTACATGGTCTTAACGATTGATTGGTTATTTGGAATTCAAGTCAACTTGACCACACTGAATAGTAGGAAAACGCGTTCACAGCCATTACATTTCCATCTGTCTCCCAAAGGTTGCATCGCCATGGACTGTAAATGATTGATTGGTTGATTGAAATGCAGTTAAGCTATATTAAGCCATGGGATGGAATAGCAGAAAAACACTTTTTACCAGATTATCTTGGGGAGGCCCATACATGGTAAGCTCTGCATCTATAGCATGCCCCCTGTGAGCGGAAATTTTTTCACCGGGCCCGTATGACTATGAATTGGCGAAAGATTTTCTAAGCTTTATGATTGAAAGGTGAAAGGTCAAGGAACCTATTGACGACTCCTGACTACAGGAAAATTAGGGGATACTTTAATATAGTTTAGTGGTATAAATGAAAATATGACATCGGTACTCGTTTATATTAAACACTTGGCTTTGAACGCTAGCCGAAAAATGTCTGCTCACCTTGTTCCGTTTTCACTTTGTTATAATTAATTATCAAATATATATATATATATATATTGTAGATAAAGATTATATATATACATGCACTTTCCACACTGGTAGTTATATTACTGTTCAGTATATACATGTAAATATATTGTACATTTTTATCGTTATAAATAGAAACCTAGTGATTTAGAAATCTAACACTGGCTTTAAAAAAACACACAACAACTGTGTATATTATATAATAGTGACAAGTTTTTTTTTTTAAAGAGAATATGACACCCAGAAACGGTTAATAATTAAATATTGTGATAATCAATGTAACAAAAATATCATAGACTTATTATTGTTTTGAACAATTTTTATTATTATTATTAATGTTAATAGTATAGACTTATTGTTTAAAACAATTAATATTATTATTTAAAGGGGGACAACTGAACTAGAATAAGTTGTCCGTAACATAGCGTTTTTTTTTTTATAGAGAATAAGACATCCAGAAATGGTCAATTATTAAATATTGTGATAATTAATGTAAAAAATATTATAGACTTATTATTATTTAAAGGGGCACAACTGACCCAGAATAAGTTGTCTAATTGTTTTAAAGCATTATTATTATTATTTAAAGGGGAACAACTGATAAAGAAAAAAATTAGCCTATAACAATATTTTGATGATTTCAGATCTTTTAAGATTTATGAGTATGGCACCATTATTATATAATGTCAACTTTCAGATGTATTTGCAATAATTATTAATAGTCCTGTAAATATAGAGTGAAAACATAAAGCCACACAAGACAGCGACTGTCAACAAATTGATGTTCAGCAATCTTCATTCATTAAAATAGCAATGCTCAATAAGTACTGTTTGAAAAATAGATAAGGTCAGCCATCTCAGTTGTTATGACTACTACCAGTTTAAAGGAATGCTTTACAGTACTAGGAGATTCATTCATTTTCAGTCCTTCACATTTAAGTTGAGCTTTCGCTGCTGCTCCTCTCGACGCACCTCGACTTTCCTTCTCGGAAGTCATTAAAGACACCTGTAAATTAGTTAAATCGCTCTCCTAAATATTGAGATTAATAAACTACTTTCAGTTTTTGTTTATTTTCAAACTGCATACGTTTGAGCTATCAGTTTCCATGATGATAATTCTGATGTTACCCTATTAACCGAACATATTCACCAAATATAAATACAATTTGGCTCTCCTTAATTCAAGAAAATCTAGAATTACTCTTGCATTATAATTAAAAAGAATTTTTTTACAGGAGTTTTTTTCTCATTTTTAAAATTTTATAAACGTGAAGGACTGCAATTTGGTTACAATCTATTGTATTTAGTTCAAGACTTTTCAAATGACATTCCGTGAAAATTTTAGATTTTCTGAAATGCGATTCACATAAACATCATGTGATAATATGTCCTCCACCTGTAGGCATTCACAACTTACTAACTAAATATTCTAAAAAAAATCAAACTAAGCAATATTGGGAGATTATCTTATCGTGTTAATAATAGTTGTATCACTATTTACCAATGACCTTATCCGCTTTTGAAACTTGGAAAAAACAACAATTATTGGCATGGACTATTCTAAGTAAATTTCGATGATTGCTAATAAAAAGTTATATTTACTCAAGCCTGACAGAAATGTAGAAATGATTCTTCATCTTGAAACATGATTCTAGTAACTTTCACTGGCAGCGCAAGTGGACTGGATAATCAAGACTAAGTATCTCATGCATGTCAATAATTCCTTTTTTGTTAATATTCGTATGAGTAGGGGGTGGGAAGGGGGAGATAATTCTACTGAAATGACGAAAAACAAATTATACAATGCAATATTTAAAACTAAACTGACATATCAAATTGTACAGCATGTGGAGTTGTCCTTTAAGTAAAATAAAAACCTCCCCCTTGATTGAGCTGGTTGGAGTCCGTGAATGATGCATGGGTTGTGATAATATTTGCCCAATCCTTAATCTCAATCGCTGATTAGTATTTAACTTTGTGAACATTTAAACAGTAGGTTGCTCTAATCAACATTCCGGTTCGTATATTCCCGAATCGGGGAGTCAGACAATGATAGGTCTCCTTCAAGGGGTCCGTATTTATCATTATTATTTACAAGGAGATGAAGCGACTATTGTTATAGTTCTTATATGTATAGTTTTTGTTATAAGTTAGTTGTTTTGTTTAAATATTAAAAGATGTAATTAAAAGACATAATAACTATAGTATGATGATGTTTAATTTTTTCTAGTCCACAGTGCCAACTATCTGTGATGTTTAAAACACTCTGGGTGGTCATATTACCATGTCATATGGTCACGTTCAAATCAATCAATTTAAACTACCTAATAAGTAAATGACACTGATCATCAGGTGTCACATGACCAGACACACGTCCAAAGAGTGGGGGTGGGGGTCTGGCCCCTCCCCAGCTCACGCAGAGCCTTGATCAAACAAACCTGCAAAGCCTTGCCACATTTTTGGCCTCAATCCACTCATCAAAATGTGCAGAAATTAAATCTCGTCTCATAGCTTATCTAATCTCCCAGACCTCACCCCAAACTTAACTTTGTCTCCACTTTGGACCCCTCACTGCTCAAATTCCTGAACACGCCCCTCCTGATGACCTCACCCTGGGGCGTGAAGACAAAAGTCTACCTAGGCCAATAATGGAAGGATGACAAGCAAATTGGGAAGGTATGTGATTGGTACTATGTAAGGGAGCTAACCCTCTTTGACAGAGGTCAAAATAAAGAGTTGAATTGGAATGATGTCACTGGTTATTTCAGTTGCTGATGGGACAGTGGAACACAAAATGACTTGCATTACAGTATATCTCAATATTAAATCTGTCTGTGAATCACGAATTTGAAATTTGGACATCGACTTTGCAAAGTACATCAACACATCAAACTTAATTCTATCAATTTCAGCTAAATCAAAGCCGTCTAGTCAATTTGAGTTCTAATAAAGATTCTCAGGGTAGAGGACGACTATCTAAAGGCCGCTTGAATGGTCGTTTTTAGGCATTTCCAAAAAGGGTACACCATATAAAGTTTCAGGATTTAATAAGAGTTGAAATAAGGGCAGGAGGACCACACAAAATGTAACAATTAACTACAAATGAAACATGATTTTATTACTGTAGATGGCCATATGACACACTGTGTGCACCCAGAGACATTTTCCCCTTACAGCAATTTTTCACCTACTTCATTAATTCCAACTCTTAAGGGTTTTTTTACGTTCTCATCTGAACAACTAGATGCTTTTTCCTTGCCAGACCCTCATGCACCACCTTGCCAGACCCTCTCTCATGCATCACCTTGCCAGAACCTCTCTCATGCATCACCTTGCCAGACCCTCTATTATGCACCACCTGACAAGGTAGAAAATGGTGAGGAGCTTTCATGGTAACACAGTGTTCAAACCCAGGACCTCATGGTGAAATAGCCAGTGCCACAGTCACCTAGCAACCATGACTCACCAATCAACTACAAACCCAAATGACAAACAAGGCCTGTCGTGATCCAGGTCAGGAGAACAAACAGGCTGGATTATTGGGCTAAATAAAACCTGTATTAAGGTTCAAATTACGTTTTACCAATTCGGTATCCATTTCAAAATTTATTTTATAACAAATATCAATAACATTAACAAGTATAAAAGATTCACAGCTGTTGCTTTTTCCCCCTCAAAAATCTAACTTGCTGTTACCTGTTCCTCCCCCACAACCAGCAGTTGATGATTTGAGATGTTTTAATGGATCTTCATGACCTTGACTGGATTGTTCTGCCATTTCCGGAGGAAGATGAAGGGGCTGAAACCAAAAATATTTATCAAACATCGATATTATTTCAAAGAGATCAAATGGCAACCTTAGTATTTACCATCCACAAAAATCTAAAAATGTCTATCAGATTTAATTGTTAACCCATATAGGCTTCTTTATCTTTATATTATACTCAAGAAATATAAATTTAAAAAAATAGGATGAAACCTACGACTCAGAACCTGTTTCCACTTGCACAGGATTTATAAATCTGTAAATTCTCTTCATGAAAACTGTTTCAATTCAAATTGTTGGCCATTTGTAGTTAAAATTGTAGTTAAAACAGAGACATGTCTATATTCAGATTGACTATTATCAAACCAGCCTATACTCAGATTGACTACTATCAAACCAGCCCTACTGAGACATGTCTATATTCAGATTGACTACCAAACCAGTCCTACCAAGACATGTATATATTCAGATTGACTACTATATGTGTGAAACCAGCCCTACTGAGACATGTCTATATTCAGATTGACTACTATCAAACAACCCAACTGAGACATGTCTATATTCAGATTGACTACTATCAAACAGCCTAACTCCGACAATGGCGACATGTCTACATGTATATTCAGATTTATTACATTCAAACCAGCAACCAGCAAAAACAAAGCTCCTTCACAGATTTTATGTTTTACCTCTATTGTGAATTTTTTCCTCCTTAATTTAAACGCCAGGTCTAATGTATCTGGTTCATGGGCAGCCATTGTATTTAATCTGGGTAACTGATGAATATTTAACAAACCTGAAATATCGTATAATAATCATCTATTAATTACAGAATAAACCAAAGTACTTACTACAAGCCAGACTATTCACATTAAGTCCAATATGTTTTAATGAAAAGACTGATGTTATTATACAATTAAGAATATCAGGGCCCAAGAAGAACCTTAGGGAATTTTAACGAGGCTGACATGGAAAGTTTGTTACCAGTAGTCGCTTACTATGAAGGAAACATGATTTCCACCTGTGTATCCATGGGTATGCACATGAAAGAACCCTTGGCAGTTGGAATTGAAAGAAGAGTAAGCGGACCTTCTCCTCCATGCATTGCACACCAAAACCCTGATATTGTATCTTAAAGAGTGTTAACAAGGTTATGTAACAAAGGGGAATAACCTTAAAAGTTAGAATTGGAAATTCATTGAAAATCTTTTCAATTTCTTTCATTATATAACCAAAAAACCTATATCAGGTGATAATTGTGACCTCCAGAGAGTTAACATGGTTTTTGTCAAAAAGGTGCATAATTCTTTTACTTATCAAAAATCATAGAAAATAGCAGATAAAATTTGTAACCTCTTGTAACAAAGTGGCATACTCAAAAAGGAAAGCCAATAGGATTCTTCCTCTTATCCAGAAGACAACCTATAAAATTTCAAAAATTAGTAACTGTTAAGAGTATTAACACAAACTGGGGAAGACAGACAGGCCAACGGGCAGGGTGACAACAATATGAGACAATATAAAGATAAACTATTTTCCTTACCATGATATTCTTTAAAAACGGGATTCTTTTCTTTTTCTGATCCGGAAAAACTTTCTAGATGTAAAACTGTATCACAGAATTTTTCTACCTGTCTAGTAAACGAGTTTTCCTACAATAATTAATAAGTTAATTTATTAAAAGGATAAGTTACTAGGATAAGCTACTGTATTAAAAGGATAAGTTACCTGGTAAATTAGTATAGAAATTAGTGCAGAAATCAAAATGTCAAACAAGTCACATACTGATGCTAGCTATCGGTGCAAGCTAGTCAAAAATGACTATTTTATCTGACTTTTAAAGCTTGTTGATACAATAAAAGACAGTTTTATTGACAGAATTTTTAACCTTGGCTTGATTTTTTTCCTGGTTGGCATAAAAGTTGCACTTTGTTATAAAAATAGGTCATATTTAACCTGTATTAAGAGATTATCTCACCTGAAATAGGTGTGTTGGTACTGTAAGAAGACAGACAGCGAATGATGATCTCAATAAAGCACGTAAACCTAGTAAAAACCTTGGTAATGAGGGGTCATGACCTGTACCATCTAATTTTAGCCCACTATTTTCACCCCACATGGGTGAACCTAAAGAATGAATAGCTGAAAAAAGACATAAAATTTCACGTTGACAATATCTAGGGTTGTGTATTTCAGCCCAAAATTGTATTGCAATATGAGAGAGAGAAATGGGGTTTATCATCCACTCAACACAAACTAGGTCGGGACAAACATATGGCAGCCTACAATTTCAATTCCATAATTCACTTGAGTGTAGGGGTATTTAGCAGTAGAAGGAAACCGGAGGACCCGGAGAACACCCATCAAGTTGGATAGGTGACCCTACGACAGGCTTGGGTTCAACACACACCACTTGACTCAATGCCAGACCATATGATCTAAAGTGATTGTGTTGGACCACTACCCCCTCAGTGCAATATTGCAAAATACAGAAGAAAAAAAAACGGACAACAATTTTGCTTACACTTAGGGACTTTACATTACAAACTGGAATCTCTATGCTTGATTGTTGTACTAAAATACTTTGCATAACACATTCAAACTTTATGATCCAAACAGTTTTGAATTCAAAATGTCACATTGAGCAATCTCTCTGAGGTTCACAAAATCCTTAGGGAATTCACAAAATTTTTTAAGTAATGACACACCTGACTAATTTGTGATCGAAAACTTCTTAATAGCATTAAAGTTTTGAAATATTCTTTGTCCTGTATCATCATGTTGATAAGTCCAAATGTAATAGGGGCAATAACACTAACATTTATGATCAATGAACAATCCTGGAGAATTTGACCAGAACTCTGACCTGAGCAGACAGTGGATAAAGGTGACAACAATATTCATCCACATTAACTGACAAATTTTAAAATGTCCATCTGTTTTACCTATTTTTAATATATTTCTCTTGTCCACTTTATCTTTTGTTAAATATTTTCCCTCTTCGATAACCTTCGCTATTTTATTCAAGAGTCTCATATAATTAATATTCATAATTTCAGCAGCATGTACTGGGCTGAAATAGATGTGTTATCATAATTAGAAGCTGATGGAAAATATAACAAATAGGTTACTTGGCAAATTAAGAGCAGGTCGCCAGGCCATATTACTAAGCGAGCCAGTTTTCCCTCATGGGCGAATGAAGAGAGTTATATACACCACACAGCGGCGCTATAGCCTACTCTTATTTCGAATTTCCAATTGTCAAACGTTCTTTTAGGTACATGCCAATGTGTACAGGGACATCAGTTTTTCATCCCATCCAAAAGGCTTGACACTGTCCCATCCAAAAGACTTTACACTGTTACTTGACAGGTTCTCTGTCCTGCACCACTGATAAAAGAATTTCAAGGAACTTTCTCTGTCAACGGAATCCAATCCCAGACCTGCCAGTTAGTGAGCCAGCACCTTCTACACTGAGCCGCTGACTGTAGCTTCCTTCCTTCATAGACCATTAGCCTGGTCAAACCCCATCTTATTTTGTTAGGTCATATGAATTACCAGTACATGAAGTATTAATTTCTTGTCGACAGTATGAGAGTCAGAATTAAAGTCCTGATGCATCATTTGAATGCTATATAATTCCTTATAAACTACAATATTGTGCAAGATGAATCAGTAATAGGCATATCAATCTAAAAATGGTTCAATTTCGTTCAGTATTGACACAGATATATGGTGGAATTGAAATCATGATGTTGCTCACTATGCAATAAGCCTGTCACCATTTTGTTATCTGATGCTCACTATGCAATAAGCCTGCTGCCATTTTGTTATCCGTAATTTTTTTTTTCTTTTCAATCTGATTGAATCCAAACTGGGACATTATCTAACATTGGTATATTGCTTCTATTTTCTTAATTAAATATCAAATAATCAATCTGTGTAAATATTAGCTTAGGTTAAGTTGTGAGAAATTGAATATTCTAGCGAAAAAATGCAAATGGTGCATCAGGACTTTTAAAAGCTAAATGGGGATTTTATTGGTGATTTATTACTTACAGTTTTATTTGGTTTAATTGTGTTGTAGAAAGACATTTTATATCAATAGATTCCACCAAACGTTTCTCCATTGTTTTAGTTAAATCATAATAATGACCAAATTTAATCCCAGTAGGATTTGACTGTAATGAAAACAAAAAGGTAATTAAAACATAGATTGCCAGCAGCAGCTTTTTCAAGTACAGCTTTCAAACTTTTATTGAGGGGCAATAACTCTGCAAACACTCACTGCAAGATTCTGATTTATTATACTCAAGGCTAGCCGAACCATTATGCAGGTCCTATTCAAGACTAGCCCAACCATTATACAGGTCCTACTCAAGACTAGCCCAACCATTATACCGGTCCTACTCAAGACTAGCCCAACCATTATACAGGTCCTACCCAAGACTAGCCCAACTATTATACAGGTCCTTCTCATGACTAGCCCAACTATCATATAGGTCCTACTCAAGCCTAGCACAACCATTATACAGGTCCTACTTAAGACTAGCTCAGACATTATAAAGGTCCCACTCAAGACCAGACCAACCATTATACAGGTCCTACTTAAGACTAGCCCATCCATCCCAAAAACTCTGATCCATACAGGTTCATACTCATAGGTTATGCTGACACAGTCAGTAACTCTCAGAAAAATCCCTGAGTAAGTCTTGGTTTCGATAGGGTTCTTCCTCTGGATTAACTGAAAAATCCTAGCAAGGTTTTAGTGACAGGTATATTATCTCTGCAAATAAATCTATGCACAGCACTGCATTTCCCAGACAATTTGATGTTAATTCTTTTAATTTATCAAACAATAATAATTAAATTCAGTATTATAGTCCATCAATAAAGTCTAGATACAGTTTAATATATCATACCTGAAACTTGGGAAGATTTTGATATCTCCATGCAATCTTCATAGAATCATCTCCTTGTGCTAGCTGACTAGATTCTGTCTTGTCCTCTTCTTTACGTTCATCTATTATAGGGGCTGGTAAATCCTTAAAACAAACAAAATGAATATTTTCTCAGTGTTTGTTTATTGTGTAAAGATGCATTATGTAAAAGCTAAATCTGTGTATATTGCAGCTCTTTTTTCTGGCTTCAAATGTTACATAAATTATTGTTTAGCCATTCATTCACATGCCAAACCCATAATCAACACTCAAGACCATCTGTTTGCTTAGATATTGAATGGATTAGATCACTTATGCCATTTAATAATTTATTATTACAATAGATTATCAAGACTTTGTTTATCATCTGTCATAGCAATGGTACAATCAAGACTACATGTATAGTGTCAAAACTTCAAACACCCATAACTTCATTTAGAATAAAGTAATTTGACAGAAATTTTCAATATATTCATTTTTCATTATCTATTTTTGAACAATTACAACAAGAACAATCCATTCTTTATCTAAAGATTTAATCATTCTGTCTAGTAACAAATGGTCATCAGTATCATAATGTCGTAAAGAGTATTCTTTTCTTACTTTAATCAAATCTTCTGGTTCAACATCTAAACTTGCTAGCATCATTGGTTGACCTGTCATCACAGCTTCTGCAGTAAAATATTTCACTAACAATCGGGCATAGTCTCCAAACACATCTTCCTCTGAAATAAACAACACATTGGTTAAGATTCTGGTTAACGAAAATATGAAGGGATGGATACATCATAAGATCCTTTATATCATTGTTAATTCCTTGATAAAAGAAAAGAGACAAATAAACATTTTCAATAACATTCACTTGATTTGGTATTTGTTGTTTATTTCTTGCAATTTCTTGCCTGTGTAGTTTGTCTTTTTTACAGGTTTGTCTTATCTATTTTGTTTGTGTGTAGTGCAGTCCTCCTACTCTAAAAAATTTATTGAAATATTTAAAGCCCCCCCCCCCAAAAAAAATGTTCCATTAAAAGCTACTCGACTTGCTCCTATTGGCCAAAGCAACACCTTTAAAGAAATCATGGTAATAGGTTTATAATTTAGGTGTAGTCTATCAGGAGATCTTTAGCCGTGTCTAAATTTGCCATCTTGAAGGTTACACTGTCATACAGTTTGATAGAAGATTTGATAACACATAAATTTGCCCACGACACATAAACAGTCATACAGCACACTACATATTTAAAACTTTGTTAAACTTACCTATCATTAAAACTGTTCCAACGGCTACACCACCTCCTGAAACAAGAACAAATCTGATTAAATATGTTATGATCCTTTTCAATACCCTGAAGACCATTTAAAACAAAACAGTCTAGTAATAAGAATAATCAATTCTCAAAAACCTCTGCAACTATGTAGATGTGGTAAAAGTGATCAAAAATATGCCTTTATTATTTTTGACTCTCTCCTGGCTGTCAACTATCACTAGCCATCAAAAATTCTAGGTTAAAGAGTCCACCACTTTTGACTAGCATAAGGTATACAATAGGTGTAACCTGCGTGAACAATCTCAAAAACCTACAAACTACTTCCTTTAATCATTCTATATCTGACTGCCTTAGTCATTCATTTACAATGTTAAAATAAAGAGCTAGCAACATCATCAACGTTGCAAGAGTCAGAGGTTTCTATGAAATGGACATATCTGTATATTTAGGGGACTATTCTTTTCACATTTTATCCAAATTTCTATGTTTGATAGACCTTCCTATCTGAATTAAAACTACATGTACCAGAACTTTTAGTCCCTGGGATTCATGGTTGCTCATTGAGTAAGACTAAGACGCTGTGTGACACTACAGGGACAGATGTGACTATTGGTCACAGACTAGTACTCCAAATAAGAGATAGGCTGTGACACTATACAATGTAGGTAGGGTTACGTCATGACTATCCTTCATCACGGCACTAGATAAGGACTTATATGTGACACTTTCGTCTAGGACTTTCTTTGACTTCACGTTGTGGGATCAATTATTTCAATCATCAATTAACTGACTGTGGAACACCGTTTATGTTGTTACTAAGTTTATATAACAAATACAGCAAACTACAAGGGTTAAATACAGGAAAACTACAAAATCTATTATAGATTTTGTCTCTATTATCCCAGCCTCTCAGCCGAGGCAGCTGTGGGTATGACGTTCCCCGCGGAACTCACAGATTATGTCTTCTCTACGGTCTCATCATGATGTCTGAAGTGAAATAAAACTCGCTCTTATAGAAAGTAAATGCGGCAGCTATTAGGGCTAGACAATTACCATTTTTGGGTAAGTATTTCGTATGGGCACCGTTTTACGTCAACACTATTCTATTTAATTGTACCAATCTGTGCACGAGCTGCCTGGATGATAGTAACCTCCTTCCAAAAATGGAAACTGACATAACTGTCAGTGAGTTAGTCTAAGAAAGTAGTAGAATAATGCAAGCTACTTCATTATCCTAGTTTTTCTCACACATCATCTATACGAAACAAAACACCTTTCTTAGAACTAAAATAACCCCTATGCCAAAAGCATTACAGCTGGCTCGCAATTTTTTAGGTCTCATCAAGTTTTAATGCTCCCCTTGTTGGCCGAGAAAGTTTCTTAGGATTTCCTGTAATTGTTTCCCCATTGTCAGTGATGCAGGACCAATCGCGTGACAAGGAACGGTATCTACTCCTGCGGTACCTTGCATATACTGAGGTCCTGTGAGCGTGATGCCCACTTTACATGCACGCTTGACTTGACAGTTGGAATTCTAAATATAAGTAGGACATAGTGCCGTTGTCCAGGCAAAATATCCCTCACAGCACACTTTATGGCGTATGCCCATCTTCATTAGGAGAACGGTTGGATGTTTAACCGCATTTCATTTACTTTTACTTCCATCTCATCTGATTAAGAATTTCTAGTAGTGTAAATAGTGGACTAAGACAAGTGGTCTACCTTTTCATGGAAATGTGTGGAAAAAATTACAGGTATATATAATTTCCACTAACCCAAGACATGATCCAGCGAAGGCACTCCTGTTGACACCAACAGCTGATTATTGTACAAGGAAGGTCGTGTGCCAGGTATTTGTAATAATTTTCCACGTGCCTTTTTCTGAAAGTTTGTTTTGGTGGCCATTTTTGTTTATATTTGGGAAAGACAAAGCTACCCGATAATATGTGGAAAATATTTTGTCGGCATTCTTTTGATGTGGTCCATATAAATGCGTATATTTTTTAATTTTTTCATTTAATCACGTAAGATTGCAATATCAATCCACGATTTATTTCTATTTCGAAATACAATTAAGCAAAGTACTTATCGGTTGCCTCTGACTAATATATTTGAATACCGGTCATCCGCGGCTACAGGTTCCAGGGGAAGTCACTCTATTAATTTTCCAGAATAGATTTGCATCCCCTAGACATAATTTTCAGCAAATTTATGGCGGGAAATCCAAAAAGAATAACACGCATGAACACGGTGTCGATAAATAAATTAAATGAATTTATGATTGGAAAATTAGAACTTCAAAGGAAATTTGTTCCAGGTGTTTATGTTTTTCGTTTCTAAAACAATGATTTATTCTTTGATATTGCAAAATCAGATGTCACCAATTCTGGACAACCGAGAGTATCAACATTTGCAGACGTTGGGCTCACATGACCGTCACGTGATAGATAACGTCGTCTGCATTTGGCCTGGGTCATCTGTCATTTTTGGTTGGGTTTGTTCTGCCGACACGGCACCATTTAGGTTGGTAAATCCAACATGTTTTGTGTTTATTATATTTACTGCCTCTGCCCCCGTTTATCCTATTTAAAGTTTATGTTTTATTAATGATAAGGAAGACAAGCAAGTCTGTTGTGGAATTTAGTAGTGTAATAATATTAATAATATTAGATCTAGGCCTAGACAGAAAGAAAGATAGCCAAAATTGCTTGAATTTAAAATGGGGCAGCATGCATGCCAGAAGGCCAGTAGGCATAGTATTATTTTATAAGGTTTTGGGATTTAAAAAATAAGAGAGAAGAAAAATACATAATGATGAATGTAGTCGTAGACCTATCTGTCTGTAGGCAACATTTTTACCAAGGCAAAACAAAACGTTAGGACCAATAATAATGGCAAAGAGTTTACCTTAGCCTAGGCTTACAAACTACCAGGCTTACTTTAGATTCTTTACTATGAAACTAGCTAGAGTAGCTGTAAAAGAAACAGGATTATTGCAGACGAGCCACTGGGCCTTCACCCTAATGTACGAAAGTGCCACGGCCAAATTGTAATGAATAGGCTATCAATGAACTGCAGTGCAACAAATTAATTGACTCACTTAGACTTTCAATCAAGTTTTGTTGTCTAATATCTTTATGTTGATCTAACCGATCTATTTTGATTCTTCAGTATGGCAACAGATGTAACATTTTTGCCAACAAAGAAACCAAGAAGGTCAACACGGTTGGTGGTGCGAGAAATAGAAGATCATAAAGAGACAATAATTCGACATGGACCACTTGGATATTTCAATATTTTACCATTGGAATTAAGATTTTATCTTTTTAATTTTCTAACAAGTAAGTAATTGAAAGATGGTAATTATCTAACTAATCTATTTTTTTTTATCTAAGACTAAAGTAAGAATGATTATGATCTGGTGTGAATTACATAATTATGAATCTGAGACTATTCTAAACTAAATACTGATCTGATCTTTTAGTTATAAAATTAAAATCACAATTAATTAATGTCCATAAATAGGCCTGTATAACATATCATACTGAACTAATTTGTTGAATCTGTAATCTGTTCAATAGATATACGTGTACCAATGCTCACGTAACAAAATGAAAGTTAAATGGGCTTCAACACCAAACAAACTAGGTTGTTTTCAATCTAATACATACTGTGATACATATTTATTTCTATAATTCGTTTAGATGTAAGGATCATTGCATCAACGACAGGTATTCCATCTGCCCATGACCACTTGGACCCCACCACCAGCACACCCTGAAATGATATAGGTTTATTTCTCTCTATTTTTTCAGTTGAGGACCTGAGTATTCTTACAATAACATCAAAGATCATGCGAAACCTAGTGGAAGGATACAGAATTACCCAACCAGTGACACTTCATATTACACCACAACCTCACAATCACGTTTTTAAACCACCTGAGCATTATGAACTCTACTTCGAAAAATACGAAAAACTTGGTACGTTTATAAAATACCATATAGTCTCAAATGTTCACTCTGGTCAAAATGCCAGAGTTCATGAGCACACTGGATTTTGTTTTTAGTTTGAAATAGGAATAGAGAGGGATTGCATCTTTTTGGGGAGAAATTGTTTCATCTCTGCAGTAATTTAACACACCCAAGTTTTGGCAAAATCTAGCCAGATAAAAAATTGTTGACTGTCATTAATATTTATTGGAAACTGCCATATTTGATACCATTTTCGTTCACAAGAATTTCAACTTTGTGACCTTATCAAAGTAATTCTGATTGTTATAATGGTCTGTGGACTAAGGCTGCATTGACAGCAATCTGATTATGTTGACAACATTCGCTAGTAGGAGTATCTAACAAATTTTTAAAATATTTAATCAGGTAATTGGTAAAAAAAAAACATTTTCAAATCTTATTCTTTTTTTCCCCAGGCTTATTAATGAAAAGATCAACATGTTTATATGCAACAAAAGACAGACTTCGAGTGATAAATGATTTTCTTACAAAGGTAAAATGAAGGAATAAATTATTTAAGCATTAATATAATATTAACAATTCAGAATAGATCTATTTACTGTCATCATGCATGGTATATTATTTTGTTGCTCTTTTATTTAAACAACTGGGCTGGTGATCTGCTCGTAGCCTGTCCGTTCACACTTCTTGTGCTCACTCCATCAAGCTGCAGACCAAATTTGCAGAAATAGTAGGTGTTGGGGTAAAGAGAATCCCTATTGATTATGAGCATTTTCGAGTTTGTACTCCTGGAGTTATTGCCCCTGACTTATTTACTATTCAAAAAAAGTAGGGGATATTTGATTTTTAAGTGTTAATAAAGTCACCTAATGAAACTGACGAAGAAACAAATGACAAAATGAAATGAAGTTCACATTCATCGATTTATTCCAAATGATCGTTAGACTAAGTAAGGCACAGACTGACCATTATAAGGGTAAAATGATACCCGGGGTCAAACAGCAAAGTTACCACAGCATCACAACCAAGTCAGTAACGGGTAAATCCTCCTCTGTTTGCCAAACAAGCATTGATCCGACGTGGCATACTCCTAATGAGACGTCTAAGGTCATTTTGGTCCAGATTGTCCCATTCCTGTTGCAACGCAGCAGCAAGTTCTTGGACATTGGCAGGACGTTGTTGACGTTGACGTAACCTCTGTCCAAGCATGTCCCAGACATGCTCGATGGGGGAGAGGTCGGGACTCAGTGCTGGCCAAGGTAATGTGGTGATGTTCTGTTGTTGGAGGTAACCTGTAACGAATATGGCCCTGTGACATCTTGCGTTGTCATCCTGGAAGATGAAACGGCGGCCATGACGTCGTGCGAACGGCACAACATGGACTGCCAAGATGTTGTCCCGGTAGTACTGGCCTGTAACACGCCCTGCAACAACATGTAAAGCCGTTCTTCCAGCAACAGTGATGCCTCCCCACACCATAACAGAACCACCCCCAAATCGATCATGTCTGATGACGTTAACGTCTTGGAAGCGCTCGTTTCGACGACGCCACACCCTCCTACGACTGTCCAAAAAATCAACAGTGAACCTTGACTCATCTGAAAACATCACATTGCTCCAGCGTCGATTATCCCAGTGTTGACGATCCCTACACCAACGACGTCTTGCCTGAATGTGATGATCTCTCAAACAAGGGATCACGCGAGGACGTCGGGCGCGAAGGTGACCCCAATGCAGTCGATTCCGAATCGTCTGGCCACTCACTCCCACACCAGTGTCTGTTTGAAGACGAGCGCTGATCTGATTTGCTGTGATGACACGATTTCTGAAGGCCAAGGTACGGATAAATCGATCCTGGGCTTGAGTTGTCGCCCTTGGTCGACCTGAGCGTGGTCTGTCCTGTACAGATTGTGTATCACGGTATCTGGACCATAGCCTGCTTATGACAGACTGAGAAACATTCATAGTCCGCGCCACAACCGCCTGTGTTGTGCCGATCTGTAGCATGCCAAGGGCACGTAACCTTTCATTTTGGGTAAGCCGACGCATATCAAAATTTGTTTTCTGGTCACTAAAACAATTAAACTGATGTTTCCACCCTGGAATTCAATGCCACAATGACTGTAACATTCAAAGTCAGAGTCGTGCAAATCTTGGGTTGGACCCCCATGATGATCCCAAGCATCACCTGCATTCCATGCGGTAGCTATTGGTGCGTTTGGGCGTCACATGTAACTGGAAATGTTTCTTCTGTTAGGTTCTATAGTGACTTTTTTCGTAGTCATTTGCATATTTTAGTATTATGCCCCCAAAATCAAATATCCCCTACTTTTTTTGAATAGTATACTATTGTCACCATACATTTGTTATTATACTCACTCACACTGATCATACAGAGTTAACTTTTCAACTGATTTTACTCAAATTTTTAGAATAAAAAGGGGCTTAACATCCTGCTTATTTACATCAACCAGGATAAGGAAGATAGGATTCTTGATGAATCATGAAATTTAGTATCTGATTACAGTGCGGTTGATAATCTGTTTGGGGGTGTATGTTATCTGGCCTGTCATTCTATGTTTATTTTTATGGTTATTGAAAATTAACTGAAAACAAAGCCATACCATATATCCCCAGAAAAGAAGACTGTTTATACGTATAAGCCCTCGACTTAACACACTTCAATCACATGACAATAATTCCAAAGAGGAAAGGTCTGCAACTTAAGACGAAAACATTTTTTCTTCGAAAGCTCGACCTGCAACAGGAATGATGGAATTGAGTGAATCAGTTCATATCATGATTGTAGTTAAATTTTTGTTTATTTATTTCAGATGATGTGCTGTAATTCGGAAAATGATCATGATAGAGAGAACTGTATTTCTTTGACCTGTTTTGGTAAATTTTTTCACACAGTAATTGCTGGATGGGATGACACAGAATGTTTAAAAGCTTTTGAGGCCATCTGTAATCACACATCTTTACTTAAAAATATTAAAACAGTTGTCACAGCAAAAGCAGGTTTGACATTTTTTTTTATTAAATTCATTGAGTGTTTAAAAAAAAAAGATTTTTTATAAATTCCAATGTTTCATGCCTTTATCAGCTTCAATAATTCAGAGCACATAAGAAAAGTCAGTGATTATTAAATCATTCCAAGGACTTGCCATCTTTTATAAGTACAATTAAAAGTCCTAAATTGTTTGCACCTCTCCTAAAGTGTGAAATGAACTACCTGGTAATGTAAAAAAAGAACTCTACTAATGTTGATGTTTTTAAAGAAGAATCTTAAATCTGAACTTTTTAACATACTTTTAAACTGTGAACAGGTTGACATTTTAATTTTTTAATATTTATAACTGTTGTTTTAAGTTATATGTATTTTAATTGTAAAGAGTGCCCTGGGGTATCTTATTAGCTGGAACACTCAGTGCTATACAAATTGATTATTATTATTATTATTAATTCAACCATATTCTAATCCTTTCTGCAATAATAAATGATACTTTTTGTTTGATTCTAGGATCATACCCCAAAATAGAGCTGAGTATGCGGTTGTTAATACGAAGGGTATTTCTTGATCCATGTCCGTCATTAATGGACAAAGCATTCTGGTTAACTCGTATCCTCAAACCCTGGCCCATGGTCACCCAGGCTAGAATTATATATCTTTTATATGGTGCTTCAAAGGACGGTAAGAAAAGATGAGATTCAATTTTATTACACATGTAGCTGTTTACCCAACGTCACACAGTAGAACCCTGCAAGTTACGCTTCCATATAGGGGCAGCCCTAGAATAGCCATAGGGCATAGCACTATTTAGTCCAAATTGTTCTGACTCTTACCCTGAGTTCCATCAGCTTTTCAAAAATAATATAGGCCTTCTTTATGTAGCAGGATCGATGGACAACGGACTATCCACTTTCCAGGTCGCGGGTTGAACGAAAAGAGACAAAGACAGGAACACGGCTATACAGTTTATTTACAATACACAGGAACAAAACAGCCAATTATTTACAGAAAGAAGTACAAGTAGAAGACAAGAAGAAGAGCACTGAAATGACAATATAACTAAATTAGCAAATAAGAATAAATATATATAAAAAAGGATGTAGCTTAGAAATAGCTTCTAATAACTAATCATATAATATATAGAGATACATTGCCTATTACAGGTAATGATAATGGAGCATTTAGAACTATTATACATAAATAACATAACAAAATGAGAAACTAACTAGAAACATACCCTGATAAAGGTGCTCTTAAGAAATGAAGAATTAGAACTAATAATGTATAAGGAAACCATATACAGGTACAAAAGAGAGAAACACTAAAAGATAAAACACAACACCAAATTAGACATACATTTTAAAATATAGGGTTTTACTTATTTAGATTGAATATAATGTATTATTTTATTTATAACTTATATGAGAATAAAACAGTATTTAAATTAGAAAGGAATTGTCTTGTATTATATTGTCAAGTCAATTTAAACAAATATAAACCTACCTGAATTAGTAAATGCAGTGCTGTAGAAAGAAATTGTTGCCTTCAAGATGGAGATCTAAGAAAAAGTGACTAAAGGTGAAACATGATGTTAGGACGGTATCTAAGTAACAGAATACTACTCACCATGTTAAAATAACATGTTTAAACTATAAACTAAACTAATTATACCAACTGGAAAAACAAAACTTACTGGATATACAGGACAATAGAACTGGATAAAATACTTAAAGAGAATATCACACCAAATACTTAAAGAGAATATACCACCCTACTACATTTATAACTTTCTGAATACAAATGGCTCCTAACAGATCTCTGCATATTAGCACTAACCTAGAAACAAAATCCTAAGTTTTAGTTTTGTTATAGAGTTAAAATGGAAATTAACACCAACTATTGGTAATCATTTATTAATCATTACACGATTTTAGTTTTAAATTTTTATACTATGAATTTCGATTAAAATTTGATCTAATTTCGACATTGTCAATCATTTATCAATTATTACCTAGATTAAAATTGTATCAAAATTCCATGTTGAAGAAATCATATCTGTTTGTGTTAATATTCCCAATGCTGTTCTAACACCAGTACACAAAACTCGCTACCCCTCATCCAAACCCTGCTTTGAAGACTAAGGGGAGATAACCCATATTCATAATTTTTAGGAATTGAATTTTCATAAAGTTTGATGTTTTATTGAAGTCCAATTTCTGAGTTTAATTACGGTACTTCAAAAACTCTGAAGATCTTTTTTTTATGTAAAAAATTGCAAGAAATATCTCTTAATGTCATTTGATCTACTGCTTCTTTTCAGGTGATATCTTTTGGTTTGAGATGTGTGAAAACACACCAATCAATACTGAACAATCCCTTTCACATTTTAGTGAAATAGCTGAATGTATTCAATTGTTGTTTAATTATAAGAAAGAATGGTCTGAAGATGATATTGTTAGTGTTGTTGATGAATTAACTAGTAAGTTTACAAAGAATGTCTAAATCTTATAGTGTGGGTAAATTGCAAAAACAAGTAAATAAAATATGGCACCATAATAATGAGTATCTCTGGGCTTATCCTAAATTATATACAGTCCCTACTACATATATATTAATACTTCCTTTCACTTTATTTTCGTTCCATTTTAAGTTTTCACATTATACCATTTGCACATGGGTGAGATTTGCCTTCCAGATCTCTTCAAAAATATGTTGTTGGTTGATTTTTTATGACTGGCAAAAGTGAGCCTCTGTTGCTATAAATTGACTGAAGGCCTGTCTATGCTAACCCTGCAACTGTAAGTCAATTTTTCCTGAAATATTGTGAGGTTTTGATTAGGAAAATCATTGTTTGGACCTAAATGCCCTTTGCCAATTTTAAAAAAATAAATTGTTATTAAATGTGAATATTATTTATTCTTATAATTTAGGTTCTCCAGATGAATGGTTAGCTGAAAATGTGGCTAATTTATTATTATTATGTGGGGATAAAATTACATCTAAGTTACTCATCAGTAAAGCGATCAATGGGAGAATTATAGAACTCTGTAGTGTAACCACTTCTTTTTGTCTAGTAAGCATTGAAATTTATATCTATCATACAACCAGAAAACAGTGAATTTCTATGTCTGTTTTTTTTTCTTTCTGATTAAAGGAGCCACAGTGGCACATTGGGTCAGACGCACACGTTCCTGGTTTTGACCAATAAAGTTCCTCAGGATTTTGCCAGAGTGATTTCACCTAGTCAGTGGTGCAGGACATAGGGCCTGACAGGACAGCTGTCAAGTCATTTGGACAGGACGAATAACCGATTTCCCATCCATGTACACATATGCATGCACATAAAAGATCCCTTGACAGTTGGAATTTGATATAAGAGTAGGCTGCAGTGCTGTTGTTCGGGTATAATTTCCCTCATAGCACACTGCATGGCGTATGCCTATCTTTATTAGCCCAGCCGGTGCAGAAAAATAGGACGTTAAATCCCATTTCATTTCATTTATCAAATATTAAGAATCAGAAAACAATTCTGAAGACTAAAGGGAGATAATTCATTTAAAAATAAATTGGTTCTACCATTACTGCAAGGTGAAATTTTGTTTTTTGTCATCCAATAGTAGCTTTCAACCATTTTCTGATAAACACAACTGTGGGTAACATTCACTAGGTTTATTAACTGCAGCATTTCAATGAGGTATACTTTCACCGTTATTAAGCAATGACGAGAACAGTGAAAGTACCCTCATTGAAAGATTGCAGTTAATAAACTTAGTGAATGTTATCCATAAAGTTGTGTATTATTATTTTTTACGGAAAATTGCCCACCTAATTAAGTTTCCATGAAATACAGCAGTGTTGACTATTATTTTATTTTATAGGTCTGTGTAAAGAATAGTTATAGTTTATCATGTGTAATGATCATGGTACAGAATATTCTACAAGTGATGGATAATAGCAAGGATAGGCTACTTTTTATCAACAGTATGATGGATATGTTTAAAGAACTTATATTAGATATGCATGAGTTCACAGAATCAGGTAATAATAATAATGCTGTGTATTGACCCCACAAAGTAGAAAATAACAGGAAGGATTGTCTGTGAAAGAGCCAATCACATATTTTTGTGTGCCTTTTAGACTGACTGATTTTATCTTTGTACAACTTATATTTATTTGGGGGTTTTGTTAAGTTATATTATAAAAACAAATATGGTTATTATCTAAATGGGATTTCTAAATAAGTGCAGACTGGTAGTAAGCTTTCCCTGCCTACTCCACACCACCATACCTTGGACTCTAAGGTAGGGAACCAAATCTATTTGCTAGAACTTAAATTAAGACACTATCCATAATAAAGCAACTGACATGGGAATATTTTCAGATAAAAATATTATTTCACTTCTTTTCTTCTCTAATTCTCCAATTTTGAGGAAATTATAATTGGAAAAATAAATGTACAAATCTAGAATCAGTACAAATTTAGCCCCAGCTTGGCAACTCTTGATTTAATACATTATTTTTTGTTTTGTTTTACTGTAGTTAGTTTTATGCTGAATAGCTAAGAATAATTCTCTTCGTTAAATTTTAGAGGAGGTTCATGATAGTGATTTGTTTTATATGGTAACAGCTCTTACAGAATTCACAAAACGAACAATACAGATGGCCTTCAAGAATATGCTGCTTTAAACATTATAAATACATCAAATTTTACACTTCATTGGCATCATTATCATATCAGAGAGTTCACTTTCTTATATTTTTCTTTTGTATATAGATTTTGAAATTTATCATGTCTGTCCCAAAAGTGTTATTTATACTGTTGTTAACTTGTAAACAGGGTCTTTTTTTTTATTTTTTACCCCAATTGTTTTTTTGTTTGTTTTTTTCATTTCTAATTACTGAGGTAATAAAAGTGAAATTTTATGGTAATTACTATAATAATTTAGACTTGCAATTGTTAAACCTAATCTTTTGACAAAACTAATTTCTATTCAAAGGCAAATGATGGTCATATTGGGTATATAAAGTTAAATGTTAAAAATGCTAGATGCCTCAAAATTGAGATCTTTAAAAAAATAATATTTGTAAATATATGTATGTTGTAAGTATGTAATAGATTATTGTAAATCACATAGTGATGTTGATAGAAAATAAGTGGAAACAAAAGAAACCCACATTTAATGTTAAAAAATATATCTATTGTCAGCACAGGTGGGCCAATCACATTTCTTGCGAGAAAATGGATGGAAAAGGAGAGACTTACTTTTTACACACCCACATTTAATATGGAGATGACAAATAGTATCATCACTGGTGTTCCATTCCAATTACTTGATATATTTTTAAAAGAAATTACAGGGATTGTTAATTGGTCATAAGAAAGACACATTTTAAAATTCTGAATTTATTGCTCTGTTTTGATTATAGTTTGTTACCAACATTACAAGACAGAGTTGTTTCAAAAAATTAAAATTTATGAATTTATTGCCCTGTTTTGATTATACATGTAGTTTATTACCACCATTAGAAGACAGAGTTGTCTCAAACAATTAAAATTCATTGTAATTCTCCTTTAAGTAATCTTGTTGGATTTTCTTAATACTATTTCTGTTGTAATGTTGTTTCATGTATTTTATTTTTAAAACAAAATATGAAACTGTGATATATTAGATTCGGGAGTTTTAGCCTTATTTCCAAATTTCGATGTTACAAATTTAGATATGCACTGTACTGTGCTTCTGTATAATTCTAGATTGATGGGGAAATAAACTTTAGCTATAAAAGGCATAAGCCAGAATTAGAACTTGTTTGGTTCTATACATGGCTAATTGTATTCATATATATGCTGCAATATACTACTACCCTATATTTGTATAAATTAATATGATAGTTCACATACTCACCCACAAAATGTTAGATCTGCTTTAGACTGAAGATTTTGAAAATAAGGTTCTTGTTGAATTCTAAGACAAAAAAACTGTGATAATAAATTTTAGTGTATTGTTTATTATTTTAGTTGAAATATTAGGATATTAAATTTTTTTCAAATTATTTGTTTTGCCTTCATTGTTTTATTTACTAAGTAAGATCGGACATATCAGTTGATTGATGTGTGTCACTCCATTGAACTATTCATTTCTGTTGAGAACACCTGACTTAGCAGCACTGTATTATGACATGGGAGTCACAGTACGTCTTCCCGGTGTTGGCCGATCAATTTTAAGTTTGTTGGGAATTTCCGGTGTGGTTTTCTCTAGTCAGTGGTGCAGGATGGAGGGCTTGGTAAGGATAGTGTTGAGTCATTTGAGTTAGCAGATGTCCCATTTACACATTAATATTCAATTCACAATAAGAGTAGGCTGCAGTCCAGCCAAAATTTACCTCATAACACACTGTATGACATCTGCCTGTTCTTCATAGCCCTGATGGAGCACCAAGGTTTACACATCAAAATCTTACCAGCCAACATTGTTTACTTTGGATCACACTATTGGCCGACAAAGTTCCTAGTTACACCTTGTGAAGGTGCAGGACACAGAGCCTGTTAAGGAACACCATCTAGTCATTTGAACGGAACGTTTGAGAGAGAGAGAAATGGGGTTTAACATCCACTCAACACAAACTAGGTCACTTCTGGACTAACATGGATCAATCTTTTCTCATTAATTCACTTGCGTGTAGGGGTATTTAGCAGTGGCAGGGCCCAGAGAAAATCCACGAGGTTGGACAGGCAACTCTACTCCTTGTCAAAAAATCAAAATCACATCAATGACAGACCTTGTGATGCAACATGCACGCGTTAACCATTCCGCCACCCAACCCCACTGAGACATTAAATATCCTCTGATAGAAATCTAAATAACAGTATGTTGTAGCACCACTGTGAGGACATTATATTCCTGTCTTCATTACCCTGGTTGGTGCAGAAAGGTTTTGTTTCACCTACATTATAACTTATCACTGCTTATTACTGAGCGATGATTAGGCTTCTCTAGTCATTGCTTGATGATGACTAGAGAAGCCTAGTCAAAACATCGCCCAGTAAAAGCAGTTATTGTATTCCATAGAATTGTGACCTGTATATGCCAGTTCAATTACAAAATGCAATTGAAACAATTTACATTATGACTTGTTTTGTTTTGATCAATGAGTTGAAATACATCAGTTTAAGTGCATTATGTGAAACGAATAGATTGTGGTTTAATCGTCAACACAATACTTTGGTCATAACCATGGTAAGTTTCTTTTATTTCTATGATTACTTGTGGAATTCCAGACAAGAGAATTATGGCCTGGACGGCGGCGTTTCCACAAATTATTCTTTGATTTCATTTGGTAGAGGAGGAGGTCATGCAATCTAATTTGTTTTTGTCACATCCAAACAATGGCACACTTCTGCTCAGCCCTGACAATTGCGGCCAGAAACAAATCAAATCTGGACAAAATAGTTGCAAACTCATTCTTTGTTGGGCCCGGTCACCTCCATACCACACCGAGACACATAAATATAAGAGGAAATGAAATCAATGAGATTTATTTTATAATTTGAGTTACAATATATACATACACATTAATACATTCATCTTATTTTATGATCACTTAGAACAAAATATATACATCAATTAAATTTCAAATGACAAGTTTTAGAACAGACAAATTTTCCGACTTTTAAACAAATTTTAAATTTACAAGGGCAATATTGAAAAATTTATTACATTCTGTATTGAATAAAAGCCTGAAGAGACTTCAGAAACAATTATATAATTTCAGCTGAAGATGACATCATTTGCAATGTCAAGTTGAACATGGCCTTTCAGACATGAAGAAGAAAGTCTTTGATTTGATGATGAATTTACACTTATTTATGTAGATAGAATCAATATCATTCACACATTAACCATACATACTGTATTTTCAAAAAAAATTTTAAAAATGGATAAGAGAATGTTTTTGGGGGTTTCTTTTTTTTTGCCTTAATACATTGTAGATTACAATGTCTTTAAAACTGCCAACTTGCAGAATGTCAAATTCATTCTAAAAATGAAAATTTTCTTCCAATATACAGAATTTGTAACTTCTTGCCAAAAAAGACCCTATCCAAAATAAGTAACTTGATTATAATCTATTTATGAGCAAATCAACAAGATATCCAATTAACATGTACACCCCCTCCCACAAACATTTATAATATAGGCCTACATGATAACTATTTAACGATCTATTTTTATTTACAATTAACAAATGTTAGGCTAACACACTTATATAATTATAGGAAAGGGATGTGGCTAATTATGGCTACAATACAATCCATTATTTTAAAACATTCACTTTATAATTTATATTGAATCTAGAAATTGTTTGCATTTGACTCTTAAAATATTCCAGTTATAAATAAGACTAGACATAGAAGGTGGATTTCATAACTATACCAATACAATAAAAAGATTTGTTCAAATGCTACATAGACAATGCACATCATCTTACTATTTGAATTTTAATTTACAAGTAAAATATACATGTACAAGAATGTATTGCAATGAAAAGACATCTAGACGCTTATAAATATCTGCAATAAATAATATGGTAAATTCACTGTTCTTGTTTATTTCCAAAAGTTATTGTATTTTGCCTTTTAAAAACTCTTTGACTACAATGTCTGTGAATTCTTAATAAAATCTAAACTAACATATTAAAGATCAAGTTTTGATAATGTTTTACTCTGCTCATATAATTCTATACAGTTTGCTTAAATTACACTTCATAACTGGCTCTAGAATGCATTCGTTGTTGTATAAATGAAATAAAAAATAAAACAACGTATATTCCCGCTGCTATCCAACAGTTCATTGCTGTTTGTTGATATTTTTCTTTAGCATATTCAAATGTGTGGTTGTTCTGAGCCCACTCATCTAAAGGAATATCCTCAATCAATGTTGGTGATCGAAGTTGGAAAAATAATCCAAGAAATCCCTGAAAAAAAGAAAAAAAAAGTGTTAAAGTCCAGCTTTAAAGGAGGGCACAGTAGCTTAGTGAGTATGGTGCTGACTCTCTAATCAGGGTTCAATCCTGTGGGATGAAATCTGATGTCAACTTGTGTACTTGTTGGAGTGCACATAATAATAGCTGACAGTTGCAGAGAGAGAGAGAAATGGAGTTTCAACACAAACTAGATCAATACAATTCAATTGTATTTCAATAATTGGCTTGCACATAGGGGTCTTAAGCAGTTGGAGGGCCCGGAGAAAACCCACAAGATTGGAGGGCGACCCTACTCCTTGTCACATACAAGCGGGTAGTCGAAACCATACCACCTGACTCAATGACAGACCTTATTATTTAATGGCCACCCAAGCCCACCCGCCATGACAGTTTGACTGCAATGGAAAGCATCTAATTGTTCGGGTGAAACGATAAACCCTGTATTCATTGGTGTGCATAGACAAGAACCTACATTCGTGACAGTTGGAAATGAAATGAAATGGGGTTTAACGTCCTACTGTTCTGCTCCTAACCTGGGCTAATGAAGACGGGCATACGCCATACAGTGTGCTATGAGGGAAATTTTGCCCGGGCAGTGGCACTACGGCCTACTCTTATAACGAATTCCAAATGCCAAGGGATCTTTTACGTGCACGCCAATGTGTACACGGGACCTCGGTTTTTCGTACCATCCGAACGACTAGACAGCTGCCCTTGTCAGGCCCTCCGTCCTGCATCACTGACAAGGGGGAAACCACGCCAGAAAATCTGGATGAACTTTCTCGGCCAATGCAGGGATCGAACACCCGACCTCCAGGCTAGCGAGCCAACGTCTTACCCATGTGACAGTTGGAATTCAATGAAAAATAGGTGTAAACACCATGGTCCAGGCATATACCTGTACCTGTCATTTAATGTTAATATTTCATTTCATTGATCCCTTATAAAATGTCAGAATGCTATAATAACAGCCAAGATTGATCTTTTGCGATATAGGTTCCATGCATTGAAAATTAATTAACAAGTGATATATTTCAATAGAGATCGATTGTATAAATTTTGGACGTTAATCTGTAAGTTAGTTTGTGCATTATGAAACCATCTAAGAAAGGCAATAACAACTTTATTCAAAATGCCCTGTATTCAGATATGTACATGTATAATTAATTCATCCGAACTCGAATAATCCTATTTTTGTATCTTAAACAAAATCAAAGATGGTCAGTCGTTCGTATCATTATAATATTCATTCACTTATGATTTCTACTGATAACTTGTGTGTATATGATTACAATGCTTTACTTGTGACCCAAATATTTCTGTGGTCATGCATATTATATACATAAGCTATACTGGATGGTCGAATAGACTTCTAAATCTACACACAGTTATGGTGGATGTAAAGAAAAAAATAAAGCATCAGTATATTAAATCTTTTAATGTTAATAAAAAATAAATTTTAATTAATGCACTACAACAGGAAATAACCCCACTTCACGCACTTGTCATATGATTTACATCATTCAATATTGGCAAGTGGTCTTTAAACAAAAGCATTGTTTCAAGGAATATATTATTATTAGTACTATAGCAGTATCAGATAACTGTACTATGAGGGGAGAAAAATATTATTATTATTAATGAAAAATTCCGTCAGTAAATAAGCATAAAACGGGTGAACTGATAATCAAGATGTTGAAGATGTTGACATTTTTCTTATTTCAATAGAACAAATTTCCGACTTCAGTTTTTATCCAGATTTTGTGGAGAATGTATATACAAATACTTACAAGCATTACAACACCCCATACGCTCAATATACTGCAATAGGCAGAGAGTTTTGGACCACAAAAAGGAGATACCATTTTGCCAATATTCGTCTACAAAGATCTGTCACCTTCACTGTGATCATGTGACTGTGTGATGGCACACATATTTATTTTATCGAGCGTTTCACAATTAATTTTCTCAAACGCAACAATAGAGATTTTAGTCAATGATTAAAACTTAAAAGTACTTTGTTTATAGCATCCATTTTTAAAGACAATAAATAAGTAATCTCGTCGAGTAAGATAATTGTGTGGTGCAAAATATGTGGGGCATCACAAATGATCAGGTGACTCATTCAAAATGGTGGACAGACTAGGTGAGAATGTTAAACAATTGTTTTTATCGTCTAATTTCTCAGTCCCATCATATAAAATCGAACAACAACTATGGAGGGTTGTTTCATACATAAAGGTTAATTCTAGTTCAGAAGATCTAAGAAATTCAGAAAATATTTATCTGTTTATTTTTGGTTTTAATTTGGAACTTGATTGACAACTCAAAAAAATACCTATGATGTATGTTGGTCTAGTCACCGTAAAATCGTTTATAGCGTACGTCAGAGAAAACATGTCGCACCTGCTAGATCTATTAATAAACAATCAGCTTGTGTATGCTGATATATACATTTTAAAAGATGTTAAATAAATTTGTAGACGTACATGTAGCATATAACTTTATAATCCTTCAAATAACCTTTAGCTTAGTTTGAGTTAAAAATAAATGAAATGTGTAAAATTAATTATGATTGTTGTGTTGATTTGTCATCTGTTTTGTAAAGTAGATATATGTCTATATCTAAAATTTTAGGTCAGTGTTGAGTCAGATGTAAATGATATTTTGTTAAACAGTAAACAGGTAAATCTAAAAATGAAATTAGAATCAACTGACAGCTTATAAATTATCCCTGGCATCACTAACCGAAATAGAACATCAGATCAAACACATTAATTTTACCAGAAACATAAAGGTTTTAAATAGGACTCTTCACAATCATAGTTCTAATTAACTGAGTATGCTTAAATAGAGTTTCTAGGTTCTATACTCTTTGTTTGAAGAAACTATAATGTCGAAGCACCGTTATTTCTTGACCTACGGTAATGGGTGAGGTTACCATGCTCAGATTGCCTAGTTATTACTGTTGATTCATCTCCAATATACTGGTAACACAAGGTACAATTTTATGGATACACAATTACTGAGTTTAATACTAAGCGACGTTTTGACGAGGATACTCTCGTCTTTATCAAGCAAATGATACAGGTATGTATTCTGTATATATTTGCCTACTATTCACATACCTGTATCATTTGCTTGATAAAGGCGAGAATATCCTCGTCGAAACGTCGCTTAGTATTAAACTCAGTAATTGTGTATCCATAAAATTGTACCTTGTGTTTTGTGTTAATAATTACTAAATGCCAATCAAAGAAAATATACAGGTAGTTCATTTTTCAAAACAATTTATAAAAAAATCTTTTCTTCTATTTTCGATATTGAAAATATTCTGGATAATGCACTATAAATTATTTTTATCAAAATGTTTAAATACATGTAGAAGTACATATAAGCTGATTCTCATTTGCAAGTAATTAGAGAAGTTTTCATATAGTGTTGATAGGCACTGTATAGAATTTGTTGATTGAGGTTTTATGTTTTCCATGTTGTTGTACATGTATGTATAAGACTTAGGCCTAAGCTTAAACTTGAAATCTATTTTTAGCATTTTACAATTATTGCACAAAATAGAAACAAAATCATGATCATGAATTGGCAGTTATCAAGTAGCAGTAGCCTTTATGTGTGTAAAATCATTGGTTTTGGACTTTGTTCCTCTATCATTTATTCATTGAAAGGTCATTCCTGTACAGGAAAGTAGATTCATTAATGCACTGCCTGACCTATGACAGGCTTGGCTGGTACTAGTAGTAGAATGATGAATGAATTTGGTACTGTAACATTAAACTGTGTTTTTGTACGTGTAGACTACACAGTAACTTGAACTAGTGATAATTCATTTCATCATAAAGGAATCAGCCATAATCATCCACAAAATTAGGTGTTTTGTTCAAATTGGTACCATAACCAATATTATTGTAATGTTTTTAGAGGTGTGAAATTCTTTTAAACAGTAAGTATTACATATAGATGAGTTAATTTATGGATTACATGAACATGTACTACCATCACACACTCTCTGTACCGGTAGTTCAAAATTATACTCTTTTTTTGGGGAGTAGAAAGTACTAAGGTAGCCAGAAATTTAGGAGACATGGACCTTCATTTGTACCAGCTTACATCTCTGACACCATATCCATATTTTTGTTTCAGATATATTTGTTGTGAATTATTTCTGTGCATTTACAATAATTCACATATTATGTTGCTTTATTTATGTTTTTCATTAAAAAAAAATTTCAGTGAATTCAGAAGCTAATAACAGAAGAATAAATTTTGTTGAACAGTGTTTTGGATCTTCTGGTCAGGTAGGATTCGTTTTTACTCATGTCTGTCTGAAAGTGAAACAAATCTATAGATAATGTGAAAAATTTAGAATTACTTCAGCCTGAAAATAACCTTGCTGGGATTTTATATTATTAAGCTTTGTTGAATGTTTCTTTGTTGTATGATCTATCTAGTGTAAAAGACAAGTACCAATTGTCAGATTTGAAGTCAACAAATGTAGCTTAATGTAGTTGGAATTCAAACAAACTTTCCCTCATAGCACACTGTATGGCATATATCCTTAGACCAGTTGGAGCAGAACAGTACGACGTTAAACCTCATGTCATTTGATTTCATCTTCTTTCCATTTATAAGTATATTATAAGTTCTAATTGCCAATTTTGATATCCTCCTATTGATGTATTGGTTCATAGTTCCACAGTATTTTGAAATACTTCTTTTTATGCACTGAAGTTTTTAACAAGTATAGTAATTGTTTTTATTTTATTTCAGCCTTTAGTGTCTCCTGGACGAGTTTTAGTAGGGGAAGGTGTCTTAACCAAATTATGTCGTAAAAAACAAAAACCTCGCCAATTCTTTCTTTTCAACGATGCATTAGTTTATGGAAATATTATTTTACACAAGAAAAAGGTAATTTATGAATCTCTTCTGTTAAAGTTATGACAATCCAAAATAAACAGTGAATATGCACTATAAATATTAGACTTACGGTATAGTCTTACCAAATGAATAGTGCTCTAAGAATTATTAAAGTCAATAAATGTGTATTTATTTTAAATTTCATGTTATCACATTCTGTTGATTTTGCGATGTGTTTATTAAAATAACTATTTAAAGCAAAATTTTCAGTTCTTTTTTTTTTTTTTAAATTGAAATAAGAAAAAATTTTATACATGTCGCATTGTTTGTCAATCTGATTAAAACACAGATCCTATTTCGTTTCGTTTTTTATAGTTCAAAATTTCGTTTTATTTGTCTGTACTGCACTAGTATCTTGAAGAGTTGTTATAAACCTGCATTCTGGATAGCATGAGGGAATAGCCAATGAAACCATCTGTTACGGCGACTTCTTGGCGTGCGATGCACGGATCTGTGGGAAAACCACTAGAAACGTCAACACTGATTGATTAATCAACGTCTGATGCCATAGGGTCAAAAGCCACTCATACGACCCCTGAAGCGACCTCCCAATACAACTGGTCAGATCTTCATGTAGTGTAGGCCATCGAAAGTATAAAAAAAGAACCGAAATATAGATCTGTATTTTAATCAGATTGAGTAATTGTTCAAGTGAAGTACAATATAAAAAAAACGGAAATCCAAATTTACAGTATGTGACGAAAGAGCAAGAATATCCCATTAGTTAATATTGCAAAGCAATTTTTGTGTATTCATTATCTTTTGTGTGCAAAGTACAGTGTGATTTTAGATGACAATTACAAATTTTCGCACAAAGATTTGATATTGAATGAATGTGAAAGAAATAAGGGCTAAATGATACCCGGGTTAAAGTGGTAGTATAAAGTTATTTTTACAAATTTAGATGATCTATTAACCCCTTATCACTTGAATTCTCACTGCTTCCTAGCACCTGTATGACTGTTGTATATATATAGACAGTCTAGGCAGTTTCATTAATTAGCTAAAAAAAAACATCACTTTTCTCTAATTTAACTATTTACATTTGTACCGAGTACTAAATGGTAATTTCACTCAAAAAAAAAAAGGATACAGCCAATTAAAGAAATCATATATGAGATAAGGCTGCTTTAAAAAAAAAAACCCATGTGATTATATCTGGAGGCAATAATTGATGAACATCTATCTAACTCATGTACTATATTATGTTATGTAGTTAGGTTATCAGATAACAGTCTTAATATATAAATAGACTAATATAGTTTACTTTTATAGAAAGCTTTATATATGTAGTCTATTCTGGTTAATGACCAGGAGAAGATAATTCAGGAGGCAGCAGGGTTAAAAGGGAAAGCCCCCATTTTTATAAGAATATGAGGTCATTTTGAATTGATTAAGGGGTTTATAATGTGGGGTGGAATGGGGTTTCACACACCTCTTAATTGACTTATTATCAAGTAATTAAGTAATTTATTCTATGTGATAATTTTGAGAAGTAATAAACAACTTGTTTTATTTTTGACAGTATAATAAACAGCATGTTTTACAATTAGAAAATATCAAACTTGAAGATATACCAGATGATGGAGGTAAGAACATGTATACCACATTGATGCTTTTTCACCCATACATTCCAGACATGTCCTACGCTATTTTCCAAATGTTGACCAGGCATATGCCCAATCAGACATCAAGATAATATGGTGAATAATATTCAAAATTCCAAAATTGTTTGACTGTACTGAGTGTATAGCTACTACTCATATCGATTATTGTTGATAATACGCTGGATGGATTAGGCAATTAAGTGATCAAAATATATATCGTGTTATACCATGTATACACCTACCTTGGTTAACTACTTAATCTGCCTTGATTGACCGACTTAATCCTATGTCGGACAATTCATCAATCCAATCTTCAACAGAAGTCATTGCTTCTCCTTTGTTGGACTATTTATTTATCAGTCCAATAATAGTGATCATAAATTTAATCTACGTGATTACCTTGTGTGTGGTATACTATACCACAAACATTTATTTAAAATCTCATCATGTATAAAACAATGGATATTACTAGTAAAAATAAAATCTAAAATTAATAGAGGCAAAGTACTTGTTCATAACAAATAATTAAGAAAGATTCATCTGGTAAGGACCACAAAAGTTTGGCTTCTCATTTCTTTTATGGGGAGGGGGAATGATTTAAAGACAGAAAAGTACTTATCTGTTCTTTAAATTTTAATATTTTAAATGTGCAGATATGATATACCGGTACTGTAATGAAATTTATGGCCTGTATAATAACCATAAGTAATATACAAGTACTGACTAATATGATAATAAACTGAACATCAAGGGTTCTTTAACGTGCACGCCAACAAGCACATGGATAGATCTTGTTTTTTGTCTCATCTCAATGACTAAGCACTTTTCCTTGCCTTTTTTCCTTGTAAGACCTTCTGTCCTACACCACTGAGGTAACTTTCTTGGCCAAGTTGAGGATCGGACCCCAGATCTCAGGTTTAAATCATTATCTCATATCTTGTTTTATTTTCAGCATATAAAAATGGTTGGAAGATAATCAACCCAAGTAAATCATTTGCTGTATTCGCAGCTACAGCTACAGAGAAGAAAGAATGGATGGCCCATATCAGAAAATGTGTTAATGATTTACTTGTAAAACGTTAGTCTAAACTTTACTATAGGTGTACGAAGGGGAGGGTATTATGGTCGTAAATTTGCTGCTTCAATCATTTGATGAAATTAATGAAATAATATGTGATCTAGATGTATGATGGAATTATAGATTAAGTGAGGTTGGATGGCCGAATGGTTTAAAATCTAAGCTTTATATCATAAGGTTTGTCATGGAGTCAAGTGGTCTGGTTTCAATTTCCCGGGTCCTACGGTTTCCTCCCACTGCTAAAGACCCCTATGCTGAAGCAAATTATTGAAATAAAATTGAAATCTATAGATGTCAATCCCAAAATGATCTAGTTTGTGGCAGTTGGACTTTTAATACCATTACTGTCATTATGTATTAAACAGCCGTTCTGTTAGAGCTAGCGCTGTATCATGCGGTCTGTCATTGAGTCAACTGAGTTAACTGGCGGGGTTTCGATTCCCCGGTTGTACGTGACAAGGAGTAGGGTCGCCTGTCCAAATTCGTGGGTTTTCTCTGGGTCCTCCGGTTTCCTCCCACTGCTAAAGACCCCTACGCGCAAGCGAATTGTTGAAATAAAATTGAACAATGTGTTAGTCCAGAAATTACCTAGTTTGTGTCAAGTGGACGTTAAACCCCATTTCTCTCTCTCTCTCTGTAAGAGCTAAATCTTTCTATTGCAAGTCTTTCTTTAGGCCTTAAGGTTATATAAATTATTAATTAGACATTTATTAACATGTCAAGACCATAATCAACTCTTGATTGGTCCATTTAATGATTTAATTTAAAAATGGAGTGGATAGGCTAAGAGTAAGGTAGCTACTATACGATCAGTGCACACATCTTGTCAACACTACAACCATTGATAACGTTAATTACTCAAAATAAAGTAATTTGAATGAAATTTTCAATATATTCATTTTGCATTATCTGTTTTTGAAATATTATAACAAGAACAGCCAACTCTTTATGTAAATCTTACATAATGCCCCTTTAATTGTGGTTTCCACGTTATTTTCATGGACATTAAAATATTAAGGCTTTATTTGTTTATTCTATAATTGATTTGTACATTTTGAATTTGAATTATTTTTTACAGGAGGAATAACGCAGACTTCAGAACATGATTCACCTGTCTGGGTACCCGATCAAAATGCTCAAACCTGTATGCACTGTAAAAAATCTGAGTTCACAGTCTTAAATAGAAAGGTAAGCATTTAGTTAGGTAAAACCGAAAAAGAGAATTTTATGCCAGATAATAAGTTAAATTTTAACAAGGCATTGTCACTTTAGTGAACACTAGTAAACTGTTAAAATGCGAAGAGATTTTGTGACAAGCATTCCTGAAATACTTTCGATGGTCTCTACTACATGAAGATCTGTCCAGTTGTAGTGGAAGGTTGCATCAGAGCGGCTTTTGACCCTATGACGTCAGACATTTGATTAACCAATCAACTTTGATGTTTCTAGTGGGTTACCCACAGTTCCGTTCACCTCTGGCCAAAAACTCACCGTAACAGACCGTTTCATTGGCTAATACATGTATAAAGACAAGTGAAACAAAATTTTGAACTATGAAAAACCAAAACGAATAGGATTTGTGTTTTAATCAGATCGAACGACAGGGTAAATGATATATCCACAGATGTGAAATACGGAATAAATAATTCAAGTCAGTATTTCTGCTAGAAGACTTTAACTAGAATTTAATTTGAGAGACATTGGGTGAGGTCATGTTTCAATCCATGCTGATTTTAAAACAGCAAGTGAACGTGAACTTTATTATTAATTTTTTCGAAACTAAAATGGTATAATAAATAAACAACAACATGGATGACCAGCTGGTGTTAGTTACTATATTAACTCTATTAAAAAAAATGTGAATATGCCGTTATCTGTTTTGCGCCATTTGCGTTAATTTTTTCACTGCCATATCAAGTGTTTGTATATTATTTAATGCTTTAATTGATATGATTTGTACATTTCAGCACCACTGTCGTAAATGTGGTATTGTTGCCTGTAACACCTGTACGAACAAGAAATGGTTATTACCCCAGCAATCGGCTAAACCATTACGTGTTTGTTTAACCTGTTATAATCAGCTATCCTTATCGTCAGCTCCAGCCGTGAGTTCCGGTGATAATAACAAAATACGAAAATGTAAGTTTTTATCAACTAAGGCCACATCAATGTGATTTTCTATTCTTCGTGAACACCTGTAGAAAATATTTTCCTTCATATTTCTCCAGGAAAAAGACTTATGTAAAAACCAAAAGTGCTTGGTTTTGTTGTTCAAAAGCTTTCAGTTCCAAATTTTTAAGTTTTGGAATGTCTTTCTCCTGATCAATCTGATTAAAATACAGACATATATTTCATTTTGTTTTTTTATACTTTCGATGGCCTACACTACATGAAGATCTGACAAGTTATAGCTATAGGTCACGTCAGGGGTCAAAAGACCGACTTATGACCCTATGATGTCAGACATTTGATTAACCAATCAGCATTGATGTTACTAGTGGATTACCCACAGTTCCGTGCAAAACACGCCTAAAGCTCGCCGTGACAGACCGTTTCATTGGCTTATCCCTGACACCATTAAATAACTTCTCTTCCAGATCCAAGTTTAGTATAGAGAAGTAAAATGAAATTTTCAACTATAAAAACGAAACGAAATAGGGTCTGTGTTTTAACCAGATTGTCTCCTGATTAAAGTGGCAATTTATTTATCAAGACACCAAAGAACAGAAAATCAAATTTATGTGGTCTAATGATTAGTGTGGGGGTGGAGCCATTAATAGGTCATAGACCAGTTATTTAGTTTGTAATTCTTTAGTGAAGTTTGAACATGATTGGGTTATTTTTAACTATTTTATTAGGCACCAGGGTTAGGTCTAACCTTAAGCAATGAATAGTTATTATAGGACAAAGTAAAAGCATTTAGTGCAGAAAGATGGTTAGATCTATTTGATAAGGCCAACTTCAAGTTTGGTCAAAATCACAAGATGTAAATAGGGCTGGTACTAATCCCTACCCTAATCCTAACCCTGGACCTAGCCCCAAATTCTTAAACCTAACCCTAACCTACAATCTTGCCAAGAATAACATGTGCTAACCTTATTACATCTCGACGACCTTGTCGAAAATTGAGCTGGCCTTAAAAATAGATTCTTCCAATCTGTTCCCTATACAAGTGTTTATAATGAATTTGATGTTTCACACTTGTATATTCTAATCATTTTTTTCTTGAATTTAGTTAAAGAAACATGTAAGAGCTAAATCTGACCATTACAGATCTTTATTTTGGCTTCAAATTTTATGTAAATTATTAATTAGACATTTATTCATATGACAAGCCCATAATCAACGAGTAGTCATGATTTTGAATGGTTTAAAACACAACCGCCATTAAAAATGGATAACCCAGATTTCACTCAGAATAAAGTAATTTTACTGACGTTTTCAATATATTCATTTTCATGATCTATTTTTGAACTATTATAGCAAGAAAGGCTCTTTATCTAAATCTTACATAATGTATCTTTAATTAGTGTTGTATTCTACTTGTACTTCTTTACCAATAAATATATTATATTTATACAGATACTCCGATTAATATTCCTGACTCAGATGACGATTCATCTGATGATGATGATGATGATGAACCTACACCCAGTGTTGACACAGTGGATAATACATACGAGGTATGCTCAACTTCCTTCTTGATGAATTTATCATATTTTATTACTAAGTGTGGATTAAATGACGAGAATATATTGATATTGCACGATAACATCAGCCCAAGTGTTATATAATATAATACGCAAAGTTAAAATACATATTACACTTTCACACACAGGTATTTCTATGAAATCACCGTGTGACTCCCATCTTAGATAAATGATATTTGAAATATGGTACGCCAAATATGGTATCTCATGGAAGGAAAAAACCTTTAATTATATCCATTGTTATTGAAAGGACTTATGGCATGGTCTTGGTCTACCTTCACTTGGCTATTCAACCATTTTAACCTCTCAAATACAAACAGCTCATGAGATTTCAGCAATATAAATATGGTCCATCTGTACCTTTCATCTGTCAGTCACGCTTCTTGGAACATAAAAACTGTGCTTTTAACTTGCTGGTGTGACTGAGTTTGATGACAAACAGTTTCTGCTTAGGCTAAGCACAGATAAGCAATTTGATTTGGTGTATAATTCCATTACATCAATACCATGACTATGTTTGAAAATTAGAATTTTTAGCTCGAGCTAAGCAGAGTGATAAGAAATTTAATTCCGTTAAATCCAAACAGGAAGATTATCTACTGTTGATATTTTGGTTTTGATCCTTAATTAAATGTTGAATAATCAATTTGAGGGTATTTCCTTGCTGTTTGAATGAGATATTGTTTGAAAAATGCTAATGTTATAAATAGCGCAAATAAGACGTAGTTGAAATTTGTTGTTAATTTATTACAGTCACAGTTTCAAAGTTATGAGGCAGAAGAAGTTCCTGATTATAAAGCTGGCCAAACTCATCAGTAGTAACATTATATAGTAACTTTCAAGACTTCTCTCTACTTCTACTTTCATTTTATAAAACTGATCTTTGTTTATATTAGTTTACAACAATTACTCTTCATGCAATGTCCATACGTAATTTTCTTGCTCTTTTTACTTTATAATGAGTCAGTATAACCTAGATAATTGATTAAATCTTTTTGATATTAAGAAAACTTGATTGATTATCAGCATTAACATTAACTATTTATTTAGTTCTTGCAAAAGTTATAAGAGCTGAAACCTCTTAGGTAAAAATAAAGTATTGAATTGTATTCATCTGGTGTGGTATGATTAAGTCAGCATAATTTCAAATTGTCAACAGTCAAATACAAAAACAGTTACATCTCAATACTGGCTTTATATAGATGGAAAATGTTCAACAAAGGCAGATTTTAATTCCACAAAAAAAATTGACACATAAAATATAATTAAATTGCCAGTTTTGGAAGGGTGGGACCCAAATAAATGTGTAAAAGGATTAGTTATAACTTATACTGTAATATTTGATATGGAATAATGAATTAATTAATATTGCCAGTAAATCAGTCTATATAAACTGCAACAATATATGTGAAAATTTAATTGATTGTTATCAGATTGTGATTTGAAAATGGCAGTTCGCCCATGTAATCAATGGTGACTTAAATTAGCCTCAAGTTAAGTTCTCATGAATGTGGACTGTGTGTACCTTGTGGTTGTTGGGGTTATACATTATACTCCAATTCTTAAGTTTATATCTGCATCATTTTTATTTGTCTTTTATTCTCAAATGAATGATTTGCATGTTTTTTTTCTACTCTAGTCTATAGTGCTATATTGCTGCTATAGTCTATAGTGCTATATATATTGCTTCTATAGTGCTATGTTGCTGCTATAGTGCTATATGGCTACTACAGTCTATAGTGCTATATTGCTGTTAAAGTCTATAGTGCTATATTGCTGCTACAGTCTTTAGTGCTATATTGCTGCTATAGTCTATAGTGCTATGTTGCTGCTATAGTCTATATTGCTACTATAGACTATAGTGCTATATTGCTGCTACAGACTATAGTGCTATATTGCTGCTACAGTCTTTAGTGCTATTTTTCTGCTGCAGTCTATAGTACTATATCTCTTCTATAGTGCTATATTTCTGCTGCAGTATTTAGTGCTATAATTCAGTAATTGTGACATGCAGCTCTGATCAGATTTATTAAAGTTAAGTTTTGCTATTTCTTTTATTTTCCTTTATGATAGTATTTTATTTTCACCTGTTTATGATTTGTGATGCCTTTGATGTTAGAATATGAAATTGATATTGTTAGGCTAAATTTATTGCAATGAAGAGTGGCTGCCATGTAACAAAGCATATATGCCCACAGCAGCTATGTTATTCAAGCATTCCGTAAAGGCTGTTGCTTTGTTCATGTTTTGATCGCTGGGGGGTGTTTACAAGATTCTACAATGTAATGATAGCGGATTGTGTCTTTAAACCTTCCCTGGAATCCTTCACATACTAGGCTGGCCTATTATTAAATCTGGGCAATAACTCCGGAAATACTTATCTGATATAGTAGTTATTTTATAAACTGATTTATCACAATAATCGAAACAAAGAACATAGATTTCAAGTAAATCAGACGATGACTTTAGCTGTTAAAGCATTCTCAGGATTGTACAAATTGCTAAGGGCAATAACTCTGGAAGTTACTAAATTTGCAGAATAATGTGAACAACATGTATAATTTTTTTTTAACTATTTGATGACAAATATAGTCTTTAGGGTGTTAAAAATTAATTATGGACAGATGGATATAGGCAACAGCATTTATAAATAGCAATAAAATTATTACATCCGAGTTACTTTTACAATTTAGTCAAGATTCTTCTAACAATACTATTTTGGACTTGGAAGTTTTTATAACAAGCATTGAGAGTTCTTGATCTTTCCAGACAAATATCTGGCTAATCCTTCATTGATGGTTTCGGATCAATTTTAAGTTCCTAACGGCACGGTCTGAAATAGCTAGTTACAATCACTTTATTATTGAGTGTCATAATTGTTCAGTTTTAGTAACAATATTTTTAACCTTTCATAGGCAACAAACATGAATTGTGTATTTTGTGTTCTGCTTCTTCACTCATCATATAACATTAGGGCAATTTCAACTTTTTTCGTTGAAGAATGGGTCAAAATTTGTTTGTCACAGATAATTGTCAAAAATTTACAGGAATGGGTTATGTAAATAGTCAATCTACGCATGAAGATTTGACTGAAGAGGGTATTTTGATATTAAAAGGTAATTTTTAAAATTCACGAATGGCAGCTGCCCTTTTTTCACCTGTCCTTAACCAAGGGAATCAATCACATGCAATGTATTCTAATATCTTTTATATTTGCAAAGTCTTTTTCACATACCTATATATTCTTATGGAACGTTTCATTGAAATTTGCAATTGATTTTGTTTGTAAATATTTTGTATTTAAGTTTTGTAAATATATAGAGATACATAATTCTGTTTTAATTATAAATATTATTTCCTGTAGAATTTCAAGCAAGATTATTGGGGTTTTTTATTTTAAAGTAGAAAATTATTAAAATGATTAAGTCATGTGTTCTAAGAAGGACCCAATTAAATGAACTACTATTTTTACAAAAAAAAATTAGAAATTTTGTCTACATTTGTTGTATTGATAATAAAGATTTAAAAAAATAAACAAACCTTACTGTTTATAAATAAATTTTCTAATTCCTGTGATACTTTATTATACCAAGAGAGCCAAAAAGTGAATTAGGATATTGTACAAAGACACATTAAAATGTTGTATTTCTAAAGGTGTTCTACCAGTAAAATATTTCTATATCGTACAGAGACATGTTAAAATGTTGTAAAGATGTTCTACCGGTAAAATATTTCTATAAACAGTGTGTGTGGCTGTTTAAACAACATGTAGTTATTCACACTTAAAAAACTGAGCATCTAGGAGGACAGAAATAAGGAGTATGAAAGTTAGTAATTTATAGATTAATACAGTAAATATATACCTGGCAAATAAATTCACCTTTAACTGCTGGAATTTCTCAGGTTCAACAATAATAATTAACCATAAATGCACTACTGGTTATATTCAGTTTGCTTGTAATTCTTTGGTAGGCCTATATCACAAAGAAATACAACATTTTCGATCTTAACATTAATATTTGTTTGGGGTGACCCATATACAACATTATAAATCAATATCTATCAAACCCCTTTTAGAAATACAACAACTAGATGACAAGATTACATTTATTTAATACAATTAAACTTCACAACACTTCATCAAGTTAAATACACATCTAAGGCCAAACCAATTTAATTTTTATTTGGGTTCTCCAGTCTGTTGAAAAAATGAACCAAGTACTTTTTCCCCCCTGTGGTGCCAGCCATTTGTTTGTGATCGAAGTCAGCTGTTCATGACCACAACTTAATGAAACTTGCTGGAAACCACAGAGTTGTTCTAGGCAACAGTGAAACTTATTGTTAAATTATTTTTTTCCAGATTAAATAGGAAGCCAAATTTGTAATAGATGTTCCTGAATGAACAAAAATTAAGATTGGGCCTGGTCCATCTGATTAAAATACAGATCTATATTTCGTTTTCTTTTTTTTTATTTATACATTCGATGGCCTCTACAACATAAAGATCTGACCAGTTTTAACGTCGCGTCAGGGGTCATACGAGCAATTTTTGACACTATGACGTTAGAGATTTGATTAACCAATCAGCGTTGACGTTTCTAGTGGGTTACCCACAGTTCCATGCAACTCACGCTAAAAACTTGCCGTAACAGACCGTTTCATTGGCTAATCCCTCACATCAATAGGAACGTGGGTTATATAACACTTCTTCCAGATCCTAGTATACTAAAGACAAGTAAAACGAAATTTTGAACCATAAAAACCAAAACGAAATAGGATCTGTGTTTTAATCAGATTGGGGCGTGGTCTTAATATGTAATATGTTTACATACCAACTTGTGTTTATATGATTAGTTATTGCCTGTTATTTATATGTATGCATGGTTTTAAAATGTTTATTTTCAAATTGAATTTTTGTTTGTAAACTTTAATTTTATTATAAGATACTAATGATTATATATTATTATTGATTCATTCAAATATAAAACCACAAATAATTTATTTATTGATATATAGGAATTAATGAAACTTGAACAGTTATTAGAGTAAGTTTCCATTATTTATGAATGGAATTAATGAAACTTTCAAGAAAGGTTATTAGCGTAAGTTTCCATCATTTATGAATAGAATTAATGAAACTATAAGAAAGGTTATAAGTGTAAGTTTCCATCATTTATGAATAGAATGAATGAAACTTTAATAATGGTTATTAGAGTAATTTTCCATCATTTATGAATGGAATGAATGAAACTTTAAGAATGGTTATTAGAGTAAGTTTCCATCATTTATGAATAGAATTAATGAAACTATAAGAAAGGTTATTAGTGTAAGTTTCCATCATTTATGAATAGAATGAATGAAACTTTAATAATGGTTATTAGAGTAATTTTCCATCATTTATGAATGGAATGAATGAAACTTTAAGAATGGTTATTAGAGTAAGTTTCCATCATTTATGAATGGAATTAATGAAACTTTAAGAAAGGTTATTAGCGTAAGTTTCCATCATTTATGAATGGCATAATTACCTTGCAATAGCAAAACAGAGTAATTTCGATTAGATCTCGATATATATAGTACAACCCACCCCTGCACAAAAGGTACAGTCCTTACCAAGGTATGATAACGCTTTCTACCATTGCGTCATGGGGGACATTAAGTACAGGAGATTATAATGTAATAAAAAGTTTCAATTATCAGAAAATCTCTTTTGGTTAATTGGCCATAACTCAAAAATCCTTCCTATAATGAAACAATTTCTTATAATTAATTGATTCCTGAGATGGCCAGAACTTCACTGAGTCTCTGGTTATTTGATTTTAAACGTAGGTGGACTTCAAGGGCCGGGGGGGGGGGGGGGGGGGTAAATCTACAGTTAAAGTCAGAGGTACACAGTGATAGCTATTAATATAACAAATCTATGTTTATTGGTACCCTTTAATATAAATATTGATTTATATCTTCATAGGTCATACTTTTAATATAAATATATTGAACATATAAATTTAATCCTTTAGCATCTGGATCGCCCCAAGTTACTGCTTCCTCTGTCACCCCCACGTGAATAGTTGTCAACTATTAATAAAGTAACATGTAAGACTTGTATAAAGAGCTGGCACCTCTAGCTATAATTGTTTAAAGATAGATAATGAAAACGGAATATATTGAAAATTTGTCAAATTTCTTTATTTTGAAGTTATAAATGTCAATCATTTCCGTTAATTACTTCTAGAGTTATGTCCCTTGTTTCACTTTGTTGGACCTTTTGATTTTGAACTCTCAAACAATGAAAATTTACAACTGATTCATATGAAATTGTCTTGTACATGCCCCCAATTACCTACAAAAGGATAAATATGCGACAACCCTAGCGAGTTGATTATGGGGTTGTTATCTGAATATAACATTTGAGACCAAATGAATGACCTGCAATAGACAGATTTAGCGCTTACATAATGCACCTTTAAAGGACTATACAGCTAGTACTGTGATAAGGGTTTTTTCCCAGGGTTAAAGACTCCTTCACGCAAGCAAATTATTGAAATAAAATTGAACCATATGTTAGTCCTGAAATGACTAGTTTGTGTCGAGTGACGTTAAACCTCATTACTGTCTCTCTCTGTGATTAGGGTGGTTTATGCCAAGGAAGCAGTAGCTTTCACAAAACAATGTAGAAAAAATCACATTTAAGTTTTGCAGGCATTTGAGGCAGTCAAAACATGTACCAGGTGCTAATGCCATTATATGATTAAGAATCATTAATATATATTATTCACACATTGTCTTGAATTATAAATATTTTTCTACCCATGTCTTTAATTCATAAAAATATTTAAATATGCAAGAACAAATATCTTTGTCATTTTGTTTATTATCATCCAATCTAATTAAAATGAGATAAGGAACCAAGAACTTTTTGTTATTTTTATATTAAAGTGACATTATGGAAGATTAGATAAAGAGCTGACAGTTCTCGCTATAATATTAATTGTTAAAAAATAGATAATATAAAGGGAAAATATGCTGAAAATTCCAGTCAAATTACTTCACTCTGAGCCTAGAATTACTGTTCAATAACACTGTAGCCTCGATTGTCATTGTTATGATAATAAAAAGTCTTGATTATCAATTTTTATGGTTGATCATCAACCGCAGACAAAATGGTTTGTTACTAAATCACAATTGAGAGAATAGCTCGCCAGAATACATATGGTTCTGGTGTGGCTTGAGGTTTAATTTTCATTACTATCATCAGTAACCCACCCCACAGTTGACTGTCTTAGACTCATTAGTAAATTCATTCTATGGCTGCAGACCAATAAATCAACTACCACATCTATTTAGTTATCTATTTTTTATCAGTACATTAACATTATGTTCTGTAGATTCATACTGTCTTTTAATACACTATTCAAAATTCTACGGAATTCATTTACTGTTTATAACTTAACATTTCAACTACCCTTAATCACGTAGGGAGCCACGGTGGCTCAGTGACATTTACTGTTTATTACTAAACAACATTTCAGCAGGTCTTTATTAAGCAGGGAGCCACGGTGGCTCATTGAGTAAGACACTGGCTCGCTAGCCTTGAGGTCTCAGGTTCGCACCCTGTTGGCTGAGAAAGTTCCTCAGGATTTTCCGGCATGGTTTCCCCTTAGGATGGAGGGCCTAACAAGGACAGCAGCCTAGTCGTTCGGATGGGATGGAAAACTGAGGTCGCCTGTACACATTGGCATGTACGTAAAAGAATGCTTAACAGTTGGAATTCGATATAAGAATTGGCCGTAGCGCCGCTATCCATGCAAAAACTTCTCTCATAGCTAGTTTTTTAATTGTATGATTGCTTGATAAAGAAATGAAATGGGTTTTAACTTCCTACTTCTCCACACCAACCTGGCTATTAATAAAGACAGCGCTTTGTACATTGTAAGACTAGGGTATCCTAGTCGATATGTGGCTCTGTAATAAACAGTAATTGTATTCCATGTAATTGCTAAAAACTAGAGAATCCGAGTCGACATGTGGCTCCATAATAAACAGTAATTGTATTCCATGTAACTGATAAAGACTAGGGTATCCTAGTCGACATGTGGTTCCGTAATAAACAGTAATTGTATTCCATGTAATTGCTAAAAACTAGAGAATCCTATTCGACACATGGCTCTGTAATAAAACAGTAATTGTATTCCATGTAGTTAAGTTGTTCTGTCTATTTCCAGTTAAGTTACTAAATGTCATTGAATAATTTCTCTTTTAACTCTTTTACAACAAAATTATTTTCTATGTTGTACCCAAGTTAATTGCAAAAAATTGTACAACTTTTTTTATTCAAAATTACTTTCATTTATACTTTGTTTAGGCTTAACTTCTAAAACATTAAAGATGCATTATGTTACAGCTAAATCAGCCAATTGCAGGTTTTAATTTTGACTTCAAATGTTATATAAACTATCATTGAGGCATTTATTCACAAACCTATAATCAACTCTTTAGACCATTTGATGGCTGTGATTTTGAATGGAATTGAACACTCAGGAGATTTAAAAATTTGACAATAAAATGGATAATTGAGACTAATGTTAAGCACAGTTCACACCACGATAAACAATCTACACTACATCTTGTTGAAACTTCAAACACTCATAACTTAATTCAGAATAAAGTAATTTGATTATCTTAATCTTACATAATGCATCTTTAATAGCTTATCTGGAATTGATTCACAGACAGCATAAAATTATTTTATTTCCAGTGCTTTCTTGACCAGATTTCATTCACTTGTTAATCTTTATAAATTTTATAATCAAACTAACTTTGTAGTTTCTCATTATGGAAACCATTCTGTGTAAATAAATTAACACTTTTCTAAGTTGATAATTAAGTCCCTCCATTGCTTCCATACATGAAGCTCCAATTCTGTTAACAGGTAAAGCCACAAAGATATATTCAAGATATATATTTTGACCTATCTATGATCACTCAATAGATATACCAATCGGATGCAAATCAGTGTCAATGATGTCAAGCAAGATGTCGATTTCTGGCTACAACTGACTGATCAGTTTCTGGGTAGAATAAGAAGTCAATGTATTAATCATAATAAACCTATTAAAACATGTATATAAAATATATATAACATTATATCTCTGTAATTATTGATCTATTAAATCAGTCATTTCAAAAACTTTATCTTTTTATTATATGTTCATATTGAAATACGGTTTTATATTGTTGTCATCGGTACCCCTGTCTATTTGTTGTTGAAATGTGGTCTTAAATTGTCATCTCTCCCCATCCGTTTGTTGTCCACAATTGAAATATGGTCATATACTGTCATCTCCTCAATCTGTTAGTTGTCCACAATTGCTTATGGATGCACTAGAAGTTATTATTCAACTGACATTAAAGTTACACTCAGTGTTTTTAGTTCACAAGATGAATATTAATTTTCAACAATTTCCAATAATCATTTTCAGAGTTACAGCCCTTGAATAGATCTGTAGGGAATGGCTTCAAGTATCCATGTGTCACAATCAATAAATAAATCACCACTTTGATTGATGAGGAACAACTTGATTGTCAAGCACCAATTTGATTGTCAGGGAACAATTTGATTGTAAAGCACCACTTTGTCAAGCACCAATTTGATTGTTAGGGAACAATTTGATTGTCTAGCACCAATTTGAATGTCAAGCTCCACTTTAATGATTGAACACACTAGGTGAAAGCTGGACCTTTAACTGTTTGTAATATTAGTAACTTCTTCCATAGGTTTAACTCTTTTAGCATCTGTTGTTGTTTTATCTTCAAGTCTTTTTCTTTTCTTATTTTTATTTTCCTCTTCCTCCATGCCATAATTTTCATTCTGAAATTTATTATTCAAAAACTTGTTATTTAGATCAGAACAAACGTGTGACTTTTTGGTCTAAAAGAAATGGTATGAAACCTGTCCTGCTTTCGGTAGAAGCGAGCACAGTGTTGCCATAGCCAGGTGGTGGATACAGATGGTAGACGTGTTGCATACATCCTTTTTTATTAGCCAATTTCTTTTGGGGAGGGGGAATCCAAACAAGTGGAAACCAAGGTTGGAAAATTCAGCAAGTTCTATTCACCCTAAGCGGAGATTCTAACAAGGGGCATTCTAGTTGAAAGTCCAGTGTCCTCACCAAGCCTCCCATTTCAATTATATTTACCTGTCATGACTGACTGGCTGTGAAATTGATTAAATGGGGAAATTACCTGTCAGTCAATTTACGGGCCATAAAATTAGAAATTCAAAGAATTTAACTTTATAACACAATAAATACAGTTACATGTAGCTTTATGGTTTTTTATGTGTAAAGACACATGACACAATCATATGGAATACAAGTTACTTGAAAGATTTATTTCGGGCAACGTTTCAACGGGGGTTACCTCGTCTTTATCAAGCAAATATATTTTAAATTTGGGATAATGCTAGAAATTGTCATATCCTCTGAAAAAGAAATACCTTAATGAACTGAGGTAAACAGATATTAACCGGCTAGCAAATTATTGAAGTAAAAGCCCTGGTCCTGACTGCTCGACAACCATGACCCCCAGGGTTCAGAGGGTTATATACACAAATGTTTGACACATGCTTCCACGAGAAAAGATTTCCGACATTAATCACACGAGATAATTTAAAGAGACCCACAAGGAATCTAGTCTAAGATGCTACAACTTAGTAATGAATGTGAGTGCGGTGCAGACATAATCTAATTGTTGGACCTGTGGCAGAAGCTTAATTACTCCTATGTAGTTCGCATTTTCAAACAGTGGAATCAAGACATCAGGGGAATCAAGACTGAAGACAACAGGGGAATTTGTTTGGTTACCCGGTAAATCCAACATACCATAATTCTGTCTTAAATTCGACTTTCTCTTACCTTAACATTAGTCTGTATAGCGTACTTCTGTGTTGATTGTTGAGCATGATGTATAAAAACAGTTTTGTTATATTTATACTCATTCGACTGAAAAAAAAACGCACACAAGAAAATACAATTAATCATGGTTGCTTGGTGCCAAAATATAGGGTCAATAGTAGAATTAGGTCACTTGACTGTGGGGTTAAATGGTATGTTCTTATGTCATGGAAACTTGCCTTCTAGACTTTTGTCATTTCATTTTAAAATATGGTAAGGTACTTTTCTGCACCAACCAAACTATGGAAGATGGCATGCAGTGTGCTAAGAGGGATAATTTTGGAGAAAAAAAAATCGGAATTTTTTTCGGGGGGTGGGTGTGGGCTATTTGTAAAACGAACATCGTAATGACCTTGACCTTCCTTCATCGGCGCTCACTTGGTCCAAAACCAAACACAGAGGACCAGGCTCTGGGTTACCTATTTAGGGTGTTTTCCGGTATTTAGGATGTTTTCCGGTATTTAGTGTTTTTCCGGTGTTTTCCGGTATTCAGTATAAAATGGTGTTTTCCGGTGTTTTCCTGTGTTTTCCGGTGTATAGTATTGCCGCCAATCCAAATTGAAGTATCTACTAAAATTTCGATTTTATTTTTAGTTAAGATTACGAGAAACAGCCCCCAGGGTTTTAATCTATGAGTGACTATGGGTCTCAATATAGTTCAAACTTAAATACTTACTATATCTGTCATGAGTGGATCTTCCGGATTGGGTTCCGCCATCAATAAATGGATTGATGTTAAAACTGTACTTATATTCAAACATGGCTTCCATGCACCCTATTAACGAAACAATATGAAGAGTAGGACGTTATACCCCATTTCATATATTAAAACACAATGGCCATTTAATAATTTAATGCAATAAAAAGAGATAATCGAAACTTTGTTTATTATCGTAGCAATGATGCATGACAATCGTAACTATATTGAGAAAACGTCAAACATTCATAACTTCACTCAGAATAAAGTAATTTGACTGAAATTTTCAATATACTCATTTCTCATTATCTACATGTAATTTTGAACTATTACTATTACAGCAAGAATGGACAGTTCTTTATCTAAATCTTATATAATGCATCTTTATATATAACATTGGTTGCTAACCTTAGGTGGCATCTTCAGTGTATCTAAACAGATTCTACCACCATTGTCAATATTGGGATGGTAAATTTGTGTAATAAATCGAACTTTAGGTGGTTCAAATGGATATCTTTCAGGTAGCTGTATTTCTAATTTAAATATTCCCTTCTCATACGGTGTTCCTTCTCCTCCAACTATTTCTGTAAATACAATGAAAACAAATAAGCTTACTTGGTGAAAGCTACCCAAATGAACTTTCACGAAAATAAAACTAAAAGCAGAAATCCCAGATAAATTCCAGTCAAATAAAAATGGTAAATTCTATGTGGAACCAGAACCCTTGATTCTAGTCCCAATCGACTATCTGAAACTCTGAGAGGTGTTTTCATGAAGAACTAGCATCCAGTTTCTTGGTATTCAAGCAGGTATAGGGTACTACCTGGACGAGAACATGTCCCTGATTGGACTCCTGACAGAGAAGTTCTGAAGTTTTCAAACCTGGTTCTCACTGATCAAGCTTAGAATCTGTGGGAAATAAATTTGGTTTAACATTCTGCTGTTCTGCACCGACTGGGCTAGTGAAGACAGACATAGTGTCTGAGGGAAATTATGTCAGACATCGGCGATACAGCCTCTTCTTTAGTGTAGGTGAACGTGTACATGGGACCGAACAACTAGACATTGTGCTTTCTAGGGGAAAGCATGCTGGAAAATACTGGGAATCTTTCTCGTAAACATCGGGATCGAACCCCGGACCGCCTGGCCAGTTTTACTCGCAGTTAGCACAGCTCCCGATATACTCAAAAAATATGGATCACATTCATAGAAACAAAATTCTTTCAAATCGAGCATAAAGTTTCTCTAGGAAAATTGATAAGAGATAATTGCTTCTTAGGATATGGATGGGTGAGCTTTAATTTTCAGGTACTGGCTCTATAGTTAACCACATACGATAGCTTACTGTCATTGTAATTTCTCAATGTAAACCGAGTTATATAAATTATATCTATCTGACTCATTCACATGGCCCAAAGAAGGTAGCAAAATTATTTTTAAAAAAAACAAAAAACAGTCAATGAGTCATACGAGCTTCTAACAAGTCAATTTTGTCTTCTTTCGGCCAACAAGAAATTCCAAAAGGTGGATTTTCAGATAACATCTTCAATTCTCTTTTCATTCGAGCTGTTCGCTGCATTTTTTGAAGAAAAAGAGAATAAAATTCGTGTAAAATGTAAACAATCAAATTTCCCGCTAAAGTCGATTATCTCCCTTAGTGCCAAAGATAGGTCTCATATTTTATTCCCCACCCTACTTATTTAATGTCGTAAAATGATCTAGCATAATTATTATTGTTAAACATTATTTCTAAATAAAATATAATGAAATGAATTAATAAATTTATTTAATGGATATAGTGGTTTGCAACTTAATACATTTGCATTTTTAACACGCATATAAAAATTTTGATTCATTTTGACAACTATATTACATAGTTTACCGTATATAATAAAGCCATTTCATTTACATACTTTGCTTATTACTACATCTTTATTCTTTGTTTTTTAGGCCTACAATATTTTGCGAAAATGGTTAGCATTTTTGTATAAGGTTTTTTATCAATGTTGTGACATTCAGAATTCTGGTAGCACATATAACTGACCATATGACTTACGCCAGTATGTTGGTACATAGCGGATGTAGAAGGCGTGAAAAGGTGGGGGGGGGTAGGCCGTCCAAATCTAGGACATCATCCACAGTCTTGGCCGATAAATGTCTTACCCTTTCCAGTAAATTAATGCCATTATAGAATGTTGGGAGACAGGGGTAGTTACCCTACGGGTGCTTAGGCCTACTTAGTCGAGAGAGAAAGAGAGAGAGAGAGAGAGAGAGCTAGAGAGAGAGAGTCATTTGACACAAAATAGCTAGGTCACTTGCTAACATATGGTTCCAATCTTTTCCAATAATTCGATTGCGCAGAGGATCTTCAGCAGTGGGAGAAAACTATATTACTTCGGGACTAACATATTGTTCCATTTTTTCCAATAATTCTTTTGCGCGCAGGGTCTTTAACAGTGGGAGGAAACCGGAGGACCAGGAGAAAACTCACGAGGATTGACAGGCGAATCTAATACTTTGTCACATTCAAGCATAGGAATCGAAACCATGGCATACCTTATTATCTAAAGCGCCCAACCCTCAACATGAGTTACGCCACTGTCACTGCATAACCAGGTTTCTAACCAGCACTACTATGCTGTTAAATAAAATAGACCTCGTATTTTTACAGTAACGTCAAATGACTGAAGCTACTCGTATTATGAAAACTAAATGAGAAGTTCTGTAGGCCTATGGTAGATACAATGCTGACAAAAAGTAAATACTAGTATCTATATCACAGGCACATACCCTGTCGATAATGACTGCGATGACTGAAATGAAATGGCGTTTAACGTCCTTATTTTCTGCTCCGAATGGGCTAATGAAGACGGGTAATTTTCATCGGACAGCAATCGAATTCTAACTGTCAATTGATCTTTTACGTGTACACCAACATGTACAAAGAACCTTGTTCTTTTTTTCGTCGGATCCAAACGTCTACACACTTATCCATGCCTGGCCCCGACCTGCGCCGCTGTTGGAGGAAACCACTCCTACTCGTATTTCGAATTCCAACACAGGGTTCGAACACTGGACCTCCATATGTTAGCGAGTCAACGTCTCTTTTGAGAGAGAGAGAGAGAGAGAGAGAGAGAGAGAGATTTGGTTTATCGTCCACCTCTCGACACAAACTAGGTCATTTCGGGACTAACACATGATTCAATTTTATTTCAATAATTCGCTTGCACGTAACGGGTCTTTAGCAGTGGAAGGAAACCGGAGGACCCGGAGAAAACCCACGAGGTTGGACTTACTCATTGAACCATTGTCGATAAGTATCTAAAATCAAACAAGAACGATTTACAATTTTTATTCTGAAATGATCCGTCGATAAAAAAAAAAAAATCAGATAATCATTTAATTTGATTTAAAAACTGCTATTTCACTTTCTTTGTGAATAACATAAATAATACCAGAGTCATCCAAAAATATAGATACGGGGTCTTGTAATCCTGAGCTTTGTTTGAGCAAAGTTCCTTGAAACACTCCATCCGGTGATAGAACTACAACTCCACGTTTTTCCACTACATAAATTATACCACCAGCACGACAGAAGAGACCGCGCGGTTCTTGTAAGGCAAGGCGACCATCAGGTTGAAAGCAAAAATTAATCTCCCCACTTTTAGGATTTAAACTGATAACCGAGCCGTTTAGTTTATCTGACACAATGACATCCTTCGACGCACTGAAAGAAACGTACCCTGGGTAGGCAAACAGGGGCGAACCCGAAAAATCAGGCGAAAAGGATCTAAGTACTTCTCCACCAAGATTAATAATATCCACTACTGGTGGCTCAGTTCCTCCAGTTGCAACAAGAGTAGCTTCATTTACCGCTGCTAAACCCATATATCTGCGATTCGCAACAACAGACGACATGAGCATTAAACTATTTGTCGTGACCTTAACGACACAGATCTGGCGTGCCAATGGAATGCTTACAGCAGCTTGAGTATCCGTCAAAGCGGCAAGTCCCCACGGTTTGCCACCAAGCAATAACCTAAGATCTTTATCGCGACGTTTGGGATAAGCCTTCAGACATGAATTATTCCAATCGCTGACTATAATTGTTCCGGAAAGCTGCAATACAACCACATCCTTGAATTTTGGAGGTTGCTCGTCTTCTCGCATCTGCCCTTCAATAGACCGAAGAAGGACTGGGGCATTTCGCACACGTATTTGTTGGGGCGTTTTCAAAGAAACAGGCCGCAACACAGTATCCGGCTTTGGTTTGGTCGGAATAGGGGGTCTTTTGTCGGTTTCTTTTTGTTCAGACTTTGGACGACTGATGTTTATCTTACCAAAACCTTTGAACTGTTCTGTACTTTCAGGAAATTTTTTAAATTTCATATTTATTCCTTGAATGCTTCGAAGATAAGTGCTGACATCTTTTGAGTTCAGTGGTTCAAAGCACGCAAGCATATCGTTTTTATCTTTGCTAAGAATTTGATCATCGCTTGCGGTAGATAAAAAATCTACTGCATTTCCCAAAGCTAGTTGTCGCCCTTGTAAATGTGCATCGAGTTCACTCAACTTACTAGTTATATCTGTATCAATAACTTCCCAACAACGTTCCAATTCCGATTGAAGTTGTTTCTCTAGCGTATTAATACGGGCTTTTAATCTAGCAGCCTCTTCCCGGATTTCGCTCGAAACCTTCTTCTTTAAGGTGAAAAGTCGATCTCGTTCTTCTCCAATGGCAGAAAATCCAGTTTCTATAACGGCTACTCGACAATGCCAGTCATTTAAAGAAGCTTGAAATTTATCTTTTGTAGCTTCGACGGCTTCAGAAGCTGGTAAAACATTCTGGCAACTTCTGTGGGAGACTCCGGCACATAGATGACAAATAAGCCGTTCGTGATCATTACAGTACAAGTCTAGTTCTTTTGTTGGGTGATTTGTACACTTGGGTGTAACTTTCTGTTTTGGTATCTTTTGTTTAGATAAATGTAAAATTAGATCTTTCATATGAAAATTTGTTTTAAACTGTGATACCCATTCATCAGAGAGCCTTTTAGGGTAAGGCAGGAGAATGTCCTCTCTGCAATAAGGACAACTAAATCCCTTCTTTCTTACCAATGACTGGTCGAGGTTAAAAATGTAATCACCCAGGCATTTCTCGCAGAACGAATGTAAGCATGGTAGAGTTTTGGGCTCGGTGAAGACATCATAACAGATGCTACATGTCAGATATTTATCTCGTAGTTGACGGGCGTCCTCCATCACTAGGGGTTTTCTTTCTGATTAGTGAGATTTTGGATTGTTGGTAGTTCAGATGCTGTTGATACAGTACCGGCACTTCAGTTATGCGGTATTTGTGACGACTGGGTTTAGCACTATTGGTCGTACACCTGATATTTAAGATTCTTAGTGGTGTTTTGCATTTCATATGATGGCTCGGTCAGCATTCAGCCAAATGATGACCCTGGCAGTGATACGACTTTGGGATGATCGTACTATTTATGGATACAGGTCTAATGAGAAGAATTACCTGTATTGATGTTTGTCGTTTGTGACCAACTTCTATTAATCCTTGTCACTGAAAAAGAACGAAATGAAAAGTACAACTATTACCCTTAAGCCTTTCATTCACGAACTTTAGTCTTTATACTTCCATTAATTTCGTTTAAAACATACCTTTATCTTCCTCCAGTCGCGAGGCCATGAAGGTGTGGGATTGGGAGGAGCCTGGGTGCCTCTTCATCTAAATCTGGCACAGTATGGAATGGTTACTGACGCCCAAATGAAACTACCCTAAGACTTTGACAGATTGAATTTTGTTCCATTATCCATATTCCACAGGGATTTAGATACTTGTGAGTTCGGCGCCATGGCGGCTGAGATAATAAGGCAAGGGCTCGGTAACCTGGGGGTCCCGGGAGTGATTCCGCTGTGGGCTCCTCCTGTCATTGACAGGACGGGGTGCCCGGCAATGTACAGGAAAACACAGAGGTCCCGTGTATACTTGGCTTTAATGTAAACCAACTCTTGACAGTTTGAATCCGAATAAGCAGGCCGTACCGCCGATGTCTGGGAAAAATTTCCTTCATAGCACACTGCATAGCGTATGCCCGTCTTCATTAGCCCGAATAGAGCAGAAATGAAGGGAGTAAACAAACCCCATTTCGATTCTCATTTTGGTTTAATTCCTTTTTGAACGCCAGTATATAAACACATAATAAATGAATACAAAATACTACGCCACTTACATGAAATCGTTGTCTAACCATGTATCCCTTAACAGGTAAGTATAACGAACGCCATATTGTTTGTTTTGATGGCGATAACAATATATAAACCGATAATGATATTTACATGGTCTATATATTTAAATTGATATGGTTACATTCATTTTCAAATAGATTAGATATGTTTGAACAAAGGTATTGATGCGCATTTTGGACCTCTTGTTCGTGGGTCAAACTGATGAACAGGAAACTAGATATACTAAGATAATCGGGGATGGAGAGACCGTGGATCAAAATAATGTTATCTTCATAGCAGTGTTGAAAAATAATAATTGCATTTTTTTGCACACTTACTCGTGTGTGTGTGTGGGGGGGGGGTCTTTTAGGGATTTTTCTAGCGTGCTCCCCCTTTGTCTGTGCAGGACAGAGGGCCTGGCAAGACACATCGTGGGATGAAAGAGACATTTCGTGTACATGTTCCCGTGTACGTAAAACCGTCCATTTTTCGGACAATGTATTTCCATTCTTCGGGCACAAACATCAGAGAATGGGACCGTATACTAGTAAAATGAAACCGCACGCGGTTTACTTTTGAATTATGACCTCTCGCAAGAACATTTGTGGGAAACTCATTTTAGTTAATGATTCATTCATGCTGAAAATTCCGGTGACAAAGAAAATATTCGGTAAAAATAGCTCAACCGGGCTATATGGCGTCAAACATATGGTGAACTTAACGAGACGAATTAAAACAATATCACAGGGATGTATTCATATATGTAAATAAAAACAAATATCACAGGAAATATAATTAAAATAAATATATCAATTCCTTTACATATACTCTTCAAAAAAAGTAGGGGATATTCAGAAACAATACAAAATTGGGGAAATGCACTGCTGTTTTTATTAGAGGTAACCAGTGTATGTTAATAACAGGCCAATTGTCTACACATGAACATAATCCTCAGACATTCAGCAATTCGCCGTGGCATGCTCCTAATCAACCGCCCAATCACGATTTGGGGCAATTCCACCCACTCCTCTTGCAGTGCAACGTTCAATTCTTGCAGTGTTGTCGGTTGACGTTGACGTCGACAAATACGTCTCCCGACCAAATTAAACGTAACACACCAAAGCAAAGATACGCTAAACAGTAAATCTTATGCAAGAACCGATAAGAAAGCAAACATGGATAGATAAACCAGCAAACGACAGTTTTCATCAACCCTTCCTTGAAGTGTCAAATTTGACAATGATCCCCTCGCACGTGTATGGGACTATTGCGCGTCGCATATGCAGCTCAGTGGTTCTGTTGGGCGATAAGTTCTTCATCTGTGAACATACTCTCAAAGCATGTCAAGTGTCCATGACCATTTATCATATCACAACCTGTATAGGTATTTGCATTTCAATATCCCCTACTTTTTTGAAGAGTATATATACATATATACAAATAAAATTTTGAATAAAAGTTTGTCTCTTTTAAAAATGCTAGCAATTTATCATATAGCTCCGGTTGAGCAAAGCATTAATTATGATACCAAATGTCTATATTATTATCCTGTTGGGCGATAAGTTCTTCATCTGTGAACATACTCTCAAAGCATGTCAAGTGTCCATGACCATTTATCATATCACAACCTGTATAGGTATTTGCATTTCAATATCCCCTACTTTTTTTGAAGAGTATATATACATATATACAAATAAAATTTTGAATAAAAGTTTATCTCTTTTAAAAATGCTAGCAATTTATCATATAGCTCCGGCTGAGCAAAGCATTAATTATGATACCAAATGTCTATATCATTATCTTGAGCTTTGAATGCTCACCCCCCCCCCCCCCCCCGCCTCAGCTACATAACAATATGTGTTGACAATCAGATACAAAAGTCCATTGTCGATTAGTATCTAAAATCAATCAAGCACGATTTACATTTTTATTCTGAGATGATCCGTCAATACAAAAAAAAAATCAGATAATAATTTAATTTGATTTAAAAACTGCTAGTTCACGTTCTTTGTGAATAACATAAATAATACCAGAGTCATCCAAAAATATAGATACGGGGTCTTGTAATCCCGAGTTTTGTTTGAGCAAAGTTTCTTGAAACACCCCTTCCGCTGATAGAACTACAACTCCGCGTTTTTCCACTACATAAATCATACCACCAGCGTGGCAGAAGAGTCCGCATGGTTTCTGTAAGGCAAGGCGACCATCCGGTTGAAAGCAAAAATTAATCTCCCCACTTTTAGGATTTAAACTGATAACCGAGCCGTTTAGTTTATCTGACACAATGACATCCTTCGACGCACTGAAAGAAACGTACCCTGGGTAGGCAAAGAGGGGCGAACCCGAGGAATCAAGCGAAAAGGATCTAAGTACTCCACCACCAAGATTAATAATATCCACTACTGGCGGGTCAGTTCCTCCAGTTGCAACAAGAGTAGCTTCATTTACTGCTGCTAAACCCATATATCTGCGATTCGCAACAACAGACGACATGAGCATTAAACTATTTGTCGTGACCTTAACGACACAGATCTGGTTCGCCAGTGGAATGCTTACAGCAGCTTGAGTATCTGTCAAAGCTGCAAGTCCCCACGGTTTGCCACCAAGCAATAACCTAAGATATTTATCGCGACGTTTGGAATAAGCCTTCAGACATGAATTATTCCAATCGCTGACTATAATTGTTCCGCAAAACTGCAATACAACCACATCCTTCAATTTTGGAGGTTGCTCGTCGTCTCGCATCTGCCCTTCAATAGACCAAAGAAGGACTGGGGCATTTCGCACACATATTTGTTGGGGAGTTGTCAAAGAATCCGGATTTGGTTTAATCGCAATGGGGAATCTTTCGTCGGTTTCTTTTTGTTTAGATTTCGGTCGACTGAATGTTATCCTACCAAACCCTTTGAGTTTGAACTGTTCTGTATTTTCAGGTAATGTTTTAAATTTAATATTTATTCCTTGGATGCTTCTAAGATAAGTGCTGACATCTTTTGAGTTCAGTGGTTCAAAGCACGCAAGCATCTCGTTATTATCTTTGCTAAGAATTTGATCATCGCGTGCGGTAGATAAAAAGTCCACAGCATTTCCCAAAGCTTGCTGTCGCCCTTGTAAATATGCATCAAGTTCGCTCAACTTACTAGTTACATCTGTATCAATAACTTCCCAACGACGTTCCAATTCCATGTGAAGTTGTTCCTCTAGCGTACTAATAAGGGTTTTCAATCTAGCAGCCTCTTCTCGGATTTCGCTCGCAACCTTCTTCTTTAAGGTGAAGATTCGACCTCGTTCTTCTCCTATCGCAGAAAATCCCTTTTCAATAACGGCTACTCGACAATACCAGTCATTTAAAGAAACTTGAAATTTATCTCTTGTAGCAGCGACGACTTCAGAAGCTGGTAAAACATTCTGGCAACTTCTGTGAGAGACTCCGGCACATAGATGACAAATAAGCTGTTCGTGATCATTACAGTACAAGTCTAGTTCTTTTGTTGGGTGATTTGTACACTTGGGTGTAACTTTCTCTTTTGCTATCTTTTGTTTAGATAAATGTAGAATTAGACCTTTCATATGCAAATTTGTTTTAAACTGTGATACCCATTCATCAGAGAGCCTTTTTGGATAAGGCAGGAAAGTGTCCTCTTGGCAAAAAGGACAACTAAATCCCTTCTTTCTTACTAATGATTGGTCGAAGCTAAAGATGTAATCACTCAGGCATTTCTCGCAGAACGAATGTAAGCATGGTAGAGTTTTAGGCTCAGTGAAGACTTCATAACAAATGCTACATGTCAGATATCTATCTCTTAGTTGACTGGCGCCCTCCATGGATGAATGTTGCTTCTCTAGTCCAGAAGATGTTGAAATTGTACTTTAGTTGTATGAGCGGTACATGTTATCGTTAGTGGTGACATGGGCGATCTTTAAGATTCCTCTAGATTCTTATATGTTTGTCGTTTGTGACCAATCGCTATTAACCACTGTCACTGAAAAAAAGAATATAACCTTATATTTATCCTTGACAAAATGTTTAGACCCTCTTACAATAACTGGACGGCTTTATTCATTTGGAAGTGTTTTTGACAAAGAAATTGTTTAAGTCCACAATCCCCGGTACTCATTCCTCCTCTCAAAACATTGACGGACAGTCTACACCATTCCTCTATCCTTTATTCTTATCAGTACCCAACATACATATAGGCTTATCAGACTGATATAGGGGGCCTCCGGCCAATAGTATATAACATTTTTGACACTGTCATAATCATAAGCCTTTAGGTCACGCACTGTAGTCTTTAAACATCCGTCATCATCCTCGGGGATGTTCAGTTTTGTTTAAAACATACTATCATCTTCCTCTAGTCGTGAGGGTGGGCGATTGGGAGGAATAGACTAGGGCCTCTGTTCATATACATCCTGCACTTAAAAGTATGGAACTTTTACAGACGCCCAAATGAACCTATACTAAGATTATGTGAGATTATTGAATTAAAACCGTACTACAATAAATAAAATGCAAATTTAGACTGAAACAATCTTTGAGTCATAGGATATATTTCACTGTATTTAGGTGTCATATTTAACCGCCGTTTCTTTCCATTATCCATATATCACAGGTGGCTCAGATAATAAGGCAAGGGGTCGGTAATCTGAGGGACCCGGGATTGATTTCGACCGGGTGTCTTGCAAGGAACAGCGTCCAGTAGTTCGGATAGGACAAAAAAAAAAGAGGTTCCGTGTATACTTGGCTTTATAAAAGAACCCTTGAAAGTTGGAATTCGAAATAAGAACGGGCCGTACCGCCGATGTCCGGGACAAATTTCCTTCATAGCACACTGCCTGACGTATGCCCAAATGTGAGAAGTCAAAGCCCATTTGGTTTCACTTTTTGGTTCAATTGCTTTTCAACGCCAGTATTATTAATACATGGATATAAAATACCACACCACTTACTTGAAAGCGTTGTCTAACAATGTATCCTTTAACAGGTAAGTATAACGGACGCCATATTGTTTGTTTTTTACCTTTATTTTCATAAAGATTAGATATGTTTGAACAAAGATAGTGATGCGCATTTTGGACCGCTTGTTCGTTGGTCAAACTGATGAACAGGAAGCTAGATATACGAAGATAATGTTATCTTTTATGATATAAGTGTTGTGAAATAATAATTACATAATTTGTGCACACGTAACCGGAGGTTCTTTTTTTTAGGACTTTTCCAGCGTGGTTCACCCTTGTCTGTGCAGGACGGAGGACCTGGCAAAAAACATCGTGGGATGAAAGTGACGTTTCTCGTGTAAATGTTGGCGTGCACGTAAAATAAATCTTGGCAGTTGGAATTCGACGAACAGTTGGTGACCACGCCGCTGCCTGGGCAAACTTTCACTCATAGCATACCGTATTAGTCTGGTTGCCGGGTTGGCACATATAAGTATGACATTAATCCCAATTTCGTTTCAATTCATCAGTTCATTTCAAATCGGTCGATGTCGCTTACTTCGCTCGCAATATTTAACAAAAAATTAATTAAAGGCAATTACTCTGAAGATAATTATTAGAAATTATTGAAATTTGACAGATTTCTTTACAAATGACAACTTTAACCTCAACAATGCTCACGACATGTTACAAACAGATCAATGCAAGAGTGTTCACAAGCAAACTTTGATTGTTTACTTTAGACTGTTCAGTACTGTGGTAGTATATTTGAGAAGATATAGTAGCCTATGCAACTCAATATGAATCAAAAGCGATCATTTTGTTTGAAAAGCCAAGCAAATACCTTATCGTGTTGGTCTTCGGGTCTTCGAAACAATTCTTGTACGATCGACCTGATATTCCTTGAACGACTGTGCATCAATGGACGGCTACCAATCCAAAGAAGAGACGCATATATGTCCGCATAAATGCTGTTCTCTATAGATCAACTACCAAAAAATATGGTTTTTTTATTAAATAAAGGGAAGAATCTCCCACTAAACCACTCCATGACCTAGGGCCGTAAATGGAAAAATTGCAAAATCATATTCTAAATATACAGGAGGAAATTTCGGCGCTCCTAATTCTTGCCTGCGATATCAGACAAAGTAGAAGCTGACGTTAAAGCACCAAGGTACTAAACTACATCAATGGACCGACTTCGTTTTTTTGATACGGTGGACATTAATGTCATACTCAGTTCCTTCGTTTTATTATGATGGTATGTGTTCTTTATTCAAAACGGTCAACACAGTTTTTGAGACAAGTGATTGGGACTAATTTTACGAACCTCGTTAAATGAGCTAAGAAAGAAAGCACAAGGGTACATCACAGATTAATTACTAAAACTTATATAGTAGACATTGTTTATTAAAACGTCACACACGGCATACTAATTTTACGAACCCTGCTCGTTAAACATACATTATGCAAAAGCTAAATCTTAACTTATCCAGCCCCTCATCAACTAACGATGGATTAGAAACAGGTCTGCTGCTTCTGGTTAAATCAAAAATTGGATACTCGAGACTAGCCCCAAATTTCAATCGCTAAATTCTCGGTTTGGGTGGATCAATTTGACGGATATTTTCAGCAAATTCCCATACATTATCTAGTTTTTAATTATTCTGGGGAGACCTACCAGCTCTTTATGTAATCCACCATAACGTATCTTTAAATGGGCTAAGAAAGAAAGCTCAAGGGTACATCACAGATTAATTACTAAAACTTTTTTTATTAAAACGTCACTGACGGCATACAATACAATACACATATACATGGGTCTCAAAAGGGAGACAATCACATTTTATATTAAAGAGAGAAACGAACTGGTCAAAAATACAAAAGTTTTGAAATAATGGACGGGATTCATAGAAATCGTGTTTGAGAGGGGGGGGGGGGGTGTAAATAAATTAAAACTTAAGTGAAAAGAAAATGTAATAAAGTTGTTATTAACCGTGCACGTGTAAAACTTGTGTAAAAATAAAATTAACAATCAAATTAAAATAAAGTCGTAGTTAATGGAACTGCCATCTAAAACAAGCACTATTAATTAACAAGCTCTTCAGTTGATTTAGTTCTATGCATTATATAACAAATAACTTTGAGTTTTTCAATGAAATTAAAATGAAAAGCAGATGTACAAGTCTTCAATGTAATTCAATTTTCTGGTCATTATAACAGTAAAATTGTTCAGCCTCCAGTCATCATGTGCTCGATAATATTCGACCACAGTCATTTTTTTCCGACTCACGGAGGCTAGTCTGTCTTTCTATTAATAGTTTAAGTATCACGTGATTAAAGTTCTATTAGATGTGACTCAAAAGGGATGAGGGGTAGCACTTGTTCAATGCAGATCGAACTACTTTCACGGAATTGTGTTGTATTTATACACCCCGACTCAATACAGTTACAATTGTCGATAACAGAATGACTATCGCGATTGGTCTATTAGCACCGCTGCCGTTCAGAGTAGTTCTGACAGGACAAACAGTAAGAGCGGTAGAGTTATCACCGGTTGGCTTGACAACGTTTGAAAATATGTCAGTCCAGAATGTCTCTTCGTTTCTCACAAAAACGCCCCTAAAATAAAGAAAACGAGTGAAATGTAACACGGTAAATGGTTTTATCGGTAGCAAACTATGTCAAACGCGTTTTCGGGAATTTTCCATTTATTTCTCAGCAATGCAAGGCTTTTAATTAGCAATAGTGGCTGGTATTCTGTCATTCATATCTACCAAAGAGGGGGTTTAACGTCCAGTCGAATGGGCCATTTCTGGACTAAGTTATGGTTCAATTTTATTTCAGTAATTCGCTTGTGTATAAGGGGTCTTTAGCAGTGGGACACAGACAACATTTCTGGACTAATTTATGGTTCAATTTCATTTTAAGTAATTGGCTTGTGCATAGGGGGTCTTTAGCAGTGGGAGGAAACCGGAGGACCCAGAGAAAAACCGACACTACTCCTTGTCGCGTACAAGCTTTGAATCAAAACTACACCACTTGACTCAACGACAGACCTTATGATCTAAAACACACGCGTTAGACCACTCGGTCACCCAAATCAGAAGTTAAAACAAAACAGTCATGCAATTATCCTATATGAAAGGTGCAACTAGGATGGGTTATCGGGGTTTACAGAAAATCCCAACGAATTATTCGTATCCCTTCGATCCCTGCAATGGCTGAGAAAGTTCATCCAGATTTTCCGGCGTGGTTCCCCCTTGTCAGTGATACAGGATGGAGGACCTGACAAGGACAACTGTCTAGTCTTTCGGATTGGGCGAAACATCGAAGTCCCGTGTACCCATTAGCGTACACGTAAAAGATCCCCTGGCAGTTGGAATTCGATATAAGAGTAGACCGTAGTGCCGGTGTCCGGGCAAAATGTCCCTCATAGCACACTGTACGGCGTATGCCCGTCTTCAGTAGCCCAGTTCGGAGCAGTACAGTAGGAAGGACGTTAAACTCCATTTCATTTCATTTATTCGTATCTCCCAAAAAAAGGTGGCTACTTACCTGAAATAGATTTGACCAACAGTTTGAGCGGGAGCTGTCCATGTTATAGTTTTAGAGGTTTGATGTGAACTTGTTTTATGAGAAACTGCACCCTACAAGCATAATATAAACATTTCAAAATTCATCAACACTTGGCATACGTTAAAATTCGCTGTCGAAGAAAGAGAGGGCGTGTCATCTTCCCCCTTCATCGAAATTTGTTTCTTGTTCCTTTAATCAACATTGAAGAAAGTGTGTTAGGCAACACAAGCCTTTCCGAACTTTGTCAAATTACGATTGGTTAACACGATCTTTAACTTCCAATCAAAAATGTAAAAAATGAAGAAAAC